ATTGAAAGTGTGTGCACCAGTGTGAAAGTAAAATCGAATTGCTGCATATTTATATTGATGTATCTGACAAATGGTGGTACCAAAAGCGTCTTCCCAGTAAACATGCAATGATGGGAAAACGTTGGTTATTAGTGGGAACCATTGTACCATTGTTGGCCCAACATTGGCCCAACATTCCATATTTACTGCATTCAAATTGGTCGCGATGAAACAAATATAGAGGCTACATTAAACATGTCACAAGGGACCCTGGTGAGTCCACACATGTCTTTTCTCTGGATCATCTCTGATGCAGTGGTAATAGTTGGGACACATGTGTTGCACACTCGAAATGAAGGACGTGGGCAGGTGCTACAAATCGAGGGCAAGCACATTTATTTATTGTAGTTAATATTAATCTTGTGAAGAACCGCACCGTCACTCTGTAAAATGCAACAGCGCGTGTTACACGCAGCAATTCTTCCGAGACGCCATTAACCAGAGGTGTGGACTCGAGTCATGTGACTTGGACTCGAGTCAGACTCGAGTCATGAATTTGATGACTTCAGACTCGACTTGGACTTGCATAACAATGACTTTGTCCCACCTCTGCCATTAACCATGTGGCTGGTTTACACGTGCGGTTATTCATTAACCCTGCCAGCCACCTACAGGCCCAACTCAGTCATCACATGCTGCTGTACACACATGCATTGATGCACTGCACAGCACATCAGGACTTTCACAGAACCACACTTTACTCCCTTGCTGCACCGGGGCATAATTAAAAGAGTGATCCATTCCTAATGTGCCACACATGTGCAGGGTTTTTTTGCTCATAAATATATGTAAATAAATGTGTTGGTCACACAAATAATTGCTGAATGCGTATGTTTTCTTTCATATTGTTTTTGCACGATATGAGATTGCTAAAGCTTTGCAAAGCACGTTCATGAACATACCCTGGCTAATTAAGCTGAGCCCTAAGTGAGTGGGTGGCATTTGGTGTACATATATATTGCACTCTTAACAAATATATATTGCTGTTTTTCTGCATGTTGTGTGTCACCATAGCATGTTTACAAACGTGTTTACTGTAATTCCATTATAAATAACCGTAAAAGAAAACACTTCACATCTGTAGAGCAAACAAATTTGTACACTAATTTGTGAAAACATGTTAAAATTAATGTTCTAGATATTTCAAAACGTGTTTTTTCATCAATACCCTATGCCTATAAGTGGGAAAAAAAGATTTTTCAAGTACGTTACATGTATGGTCAGTCAAGATAAGGGGCCTGAATAGCAATTTTAATTCAATAGATTATTATGCAAGAAGCCACGGCAATGCTGATGGCACTCAGAACACGTTCCTTCGGAGTGGGCAGGTAGGAACTTGGTTGGACAGTGCATTCGTGCACGACAGACAAATATGCACGGCAGACAGACAAATAATCCCTGGTGGGCAGTGTGGTACCTGTTGTTCCTACCTGTAATATCCAAACCAGTCCAGTTTACTGCTTAAATACTGCTCGAAAAACACTGATCCAGAGGAACTGCAGGACTACTGGGTTGATGGTGATGGTCTGTAGAGGTGCAAACGTGCAATGTCTTGCTCAGACCACTGTTGGCTCTCCATACGTTTTGGAAAAGTTCATAATCAGAATGTATAATTGTATTGGATTAATCCAATGAGGTATAAGGGGCCATCCATTTAGTACGTACGCATGGAGGGGGGTTAACCCAAATGCGTACGCTTGCGTATGGGGGAGTCTACTGACAATGTACGTACGCATATGAAACAGCGGGGGGGGGGGGGGGGGGGGTGAAGCCTCGATAATAATTTGTCTACATTGGCATTCAAATAAGCCACAGTTCAGTTTCTTCAGCTGTCAGACAAGTATTACCGGGATAATTATTTAAGTTTTCAGTTTCATTTATTAGATATAACCCTGTGAGCCATGCGGCTCTTGACTCGGGTGCAACCGCAACAAACAAAAACATGAACAAGAAACATCTTAAAGTGACTACACGCAATAGGACTGTGGGAGAGGTGTCACTTGTATGCCACCCTGACTGCGAGCTGTCACGCAGCTCAGCAAAATAAGTGGCCAAGGAACGCAACTTAATTATTTAATGTTGTCTTTTTGCTTAAACATGTGAACATTATTCATCCTTGATCGTTTCTGCGTGGATTACATATCGGCCGTTCTATAGGATTCGGGGGGGGGGGGGGTCTGTACAAAGTACGCGTGCGTACAGGGAGGTGTCAAGTTTTGACAGATTTTTGCATAACTACTCAATAGATGACCCCTAAAGTTAATTTCTATAGATGTCCAGTAAGGGTGGGTCAGAAAGTTACAACAAATAATACAAAGACACGAAAGTAGTGCAAAGTATAGGAAGGGTAAGTAAATCACGATTTTTTTTATTTTAGTAGTTAAAGGCCCACTAAGCTTTTAGCTTCTTTTTCCGAAGCGACCTGGCCACAAATGATTGATCTAACCAAGTGGATTATCATTATCGCAGCCAAATAAGTTAAAGACCCTAAACGCACGATTCTAAATGTGGAGGGAAAACCCAGAGGACCCAGAGAAAAAATCCACATGACCACGTGGAGAGAGACACTGCAACTCCAAATATACAGGCGTCAGAGTTGGAATCGAACCCCCGACCTCCTGCATACCAGGCGGGCACCCACACTTTACCCCACCACCACAAGCGACCTACACTGCTGAGAGGACAGGCGATGGGATCTCAGAAATGTGCCCCATTGATGCAACTGTTGCGCCAGGGGATCCAAGAAGGACCGGCGATATGGGACCTTCTTGTCAGTATCAAAAATATAATAAAAAGTTTAACCCTTTCTGTCAATAATATACCATATTGTAGCTGCTCTTACCTGGCTATATATGCCCTGAAAGTGGCATTGTCTTTGTGCTGTACGCCTTTTGGCATTCTCTGGTCTAACACTGTTTGAGTTTAGGCTCAAAAGAAAGCTGTCTCTGGTGTGGACCAATCAGTTTCAAAGACAAGGCCATATATTATCAGAGCATGCTTTTTTCCCCCTGCATCTTCACCACAATTATTGTGGTTAATGCAGACGTGATTCCTTGCAAAAGGTTTCTGTTTTCCGTTTTAACATCTTAACACCTGTTTTGTTGCCAGAAAGGGTCAAACATATTCTTATAAGAACCGTCGACCTTTAGGTTGCAATTCCAGTGTGCTACCCCCCCCCCCACCCCCCGTAGTAACCAATTAGTTTATTCTTTGATATAGAATTTAGAATCAGCGGTTCCCAACATTTTTGGCACCGGTTTTGTGGAAGAAAATGTTTTGACGGACCGGGGGGGGGGGGTCATCATTGGGTCTTTCCCCGTTTTCAAAGAAGCTCTCCAGCGACGTTTTTTTTAAATCCTTTATATTAAGTTCGCTTGCTTGCTTAGGACCGTGCAAATCTTTCGGTCGTTTTTTAACCCACTTCCCGTGATCCAATCGAGCTGACATTTTCCACACAGACTCGTGTTGCGTGACAATTAATGTTCGTGAAAATTTTTTCAAAAATTTTACACTTTTTAATATTATATTTTATTACCAATTGCTTAATGGTGCAATGCAATCATCTGACCCATAGGTGGCAGCCATCTCAAGCCAGAGGACGAGAGGACTCTAGCCGCCACGCATATAAAGGATTTATAGTAAAAAAAAACTTTGTTTTTACGGGTTATACTTTTACTCATGTTGGCTCTGGGTTAGCCAGAACCGGCCTTAGACCTTTGGGGGCCCTAAGCAAAATTTGGTTGGAGGCCCCTTTGACGTATGATTTTTTTCACCCACGAGCTAGCAGTGACTCTAGGGGGCCCTCTGCTGGCCACGGGGCCCTTTGCAATTGCAAGGGTCGCTTAGTGGCTGGGCCGGCTCTGGGGTTAGCAGCTTGTGGGCTCAACAAAACTGTGACACTGAGACAAGTGGGCAGTGGGGGAAGAGGCGCGGATGAAAGTGGTGAATAATAAAATAATGGGAGCGGGCCACACGCGGATTCACCGCTCTCACCTCCTGCTATGAGGCCCGGTTCCTAACATGAATTCGGTGTTCTTCATCGCAAGGCCCGTGGGCCACTGGCGCTCCCTGGTGGCCTTTAGTGCGCCCCACCCCCCAATATTCCCTCCTCTAAACCGTGCTCTTACCCCCCCCCCCTCCCCGCAATGGTTTAAAATGTGTGGTGGCAGCCCCGCACGCTTGATGTCCTATCGGCGAAAGTGCACCTCCCGACCCCCGACACAACAACCGATTCGAAAATGAGTGAAGGGCAACCGGTGTCGAGACGAAGCCCCGCCCCCCCCCCGCGTCCCCCCGCCCCCCGCCCCCCCCGCGTCCCCCCCCCGCCCCACGTCCCCCCCCGCCCCCCGCCCCCCCCCGCGTTCGCCCCCCGCCCCACGTCCCCCCCCGCCCCCCGCCCCCCCCCGCGTCCCCCCCCGCGTCCCCCCCCGCCCCGCGTCCCCCCCCCGCCCCCCGCCCCTCCCCGCGTCCCCCCCCCGCCCCGCGTCCCCCCCCGCCCCCCGCGTCCCCCCCCCGCGTCCCCCCCCGCCCCGCGTCCCCCCCCGCCCCGCCCGCGTCCCCCCCCGCCCCCCGCCCCGCCCCGCGTCCCCCCCGCCCCGCGTCCCCCCCCGCCCCACGTCCCGTCCCGCGTCCGCCTGTATCCATTGACAACACCCGGAGGAGGGGGGGGGGGATCCCTCTAACCTGGCAAGCTCCCCTCGAGCCGTGGCCACGTGGGCGTTGCTAAGTGGGGGGGGGGCGGAGCTTGGTGGTCTCGCGCGCTCGGTTGCCCGGCAACGGCGTCGCCAGCACTTTGCATGAAGACTACATTTCCCAACGCGGATAGGTCACTCCTCCCCCCCCCAACCCCATCCCCCACGGCGCAAGACGCCTTCTCATTGGTCCCGACGGTCCGCGTGTTACTACCCGCGACCAATCCGCGTACGGGAACAAAAACACGTGTGTCCGAGGCTGCCTATGCTGCTTGGGAAATGTGGTTGCTAGGGGGCGCTCACTCACTCGCCTCTGGACGCGCGCATGTATTTGAGGTTTGACGAACGCGTTGTAATGTATCAGTAGTTAGTAACATAACCTTTCTGTCGCTGGTACTACTACTGCTACCTTGGTTACTTGTTGGTTCCTCCGCCGACGTTGAGGACTCAGTCTGCCGGGCGTGTCGGCAACATCCAGCAAACTTTGTTCAAGCACCAACAACGAAGACGGCTGCAGGTAACAACAACAACAAGAACCATCATCACTCGCCCACCTGCGCACTCACTCACTCACTCACACTATAAACACTATCTCATTATCTCACAAAACTCACTCATTTAAACGCTCACTCGCACTCCCCTCCGCTTCTTTTGCTCCTTATTTGATGGCAATTGCGCCGCTTTCGAATTCCCTCCCATCATCTCCTCCCCACCCCTACCCATCCAAAGTTCGTATAGTAACCCTGTTCATTCAATTAAAACGTGTTGCAACATTTAAAGAGTGCCGTTCGTTGCTAGTCGCTTGACCTTTTGGGCCTGTGCTTAGTACTGTGATAGAAAACAACAACAACAACAACTTCGATTTAAAGCTTTCGTGACTGCAGGGATTCATCTTCTTGGTTCTTTCGGTAAAGTCACGTAGAAGGGAAGTAATAAAATAATAAAAATAAAACATAATAAAACAATTCTCACGACGTTTCGGCCACAACGCAAGCAGCCGTCCTCAGGTGATAACCAGGTCCGTCGAGGCGACAGAGTCTGAATGTCGCCTCGACGGACCTGGTTTTCACCTGAGGACGGCTGCTTGCGTTGTGGCCGAAACGTCGTGAGAATTGTTTTATTATGTTTTATTTTTATTATTTTATTACTTCCCTTCTACGTGACTTTACCGAAAGAACCAAGAAGAACAACAACAACGACGACGTATTAATATTTTGGGGAGAATATTCGCGCTCTGGTTCGGCAGCTGCCACGAGTGACATCTGAAGCGGTCCTGCTGGGCCCCTTCACCAACCAGCACTGACCAGCGTGGTGATGAGGGTTTGGTTCAATAACCCCCATGACATGCACCTGTTGTGGGGAGGCCTTCATACAGCAGTGGGTTTGCAATAGGTTGTAAATTCTGTTTAACTACAGTAATACAGTAATTGCATGCGTTAAAATGCTAATTTTTACAATAACATAAGTACATTTTTATTTTTAAAAAAACCATCGTGAGTTCTGGTGACCAGTACCCGGCGAGGTTGCAACAGCTTCGCCAACCTGAAAGTGATTGTCATGTTTAAGGTTAGACTAAGCCACGTAACTTCACTTTGGTAAGGATGCACAATAAAGACTTTTGACTGGACTTTGCCCAGCAGAGCATTAAAATGTATTAAACGTGGTATTCGTATTATATGATTTTGAGACACGAGGTGGCGCTCTTTACTGTATTCTCTTTAGTCTATTCATTCACTGCATTGGGAAGCTTGGGGATTACACTGGTAGGAACCTCCCGGTTACACCAGCCCACAGGGGATTATTGTGTCCGTCCGTCGTGCAGGGAGGGGCTGGGTGGGGAGGGGCCGGGTGGGGAGGGTGGGGTGGGGCTGGGTGGGGCTTGGGAGGGGTGGGGAGGGGCTGGGTGGGGAGGGTGGGGTGGGGCTGGGTGGGGGTTGGGAGGGGTGGGGAGGGGCTGGGTGGGGAGGGGCTGGGTGGGAGGGTGGGGAGGGGCTGCGTGGGGAGGGGAGGGTGGGGAGGGGCTGGGTGGGAAGGGTGGGGTTGGGAGGGGAGGGGCTGGTCACCCCGTGGTGCCCTTATAAAACTCAACGTTTAACCTACTCAGGCCGGCTTGTGCCCGCCCTCACAGTCGGGCATATTTGCGGAATACACCACGCCGCCGTTGACCCTGGCCATTGACCGAGCAACCCAACGTTCCTACCAGCTCCCTCCGCAGGAATGTGTTAAAATCTATTCTTAAATCCCGCCGTTGCGTTTGTCCGTCAACTAAATTATAGGAGCCTTTCACAAGGCCTGAATCAAAAAGTTATAGAAAGGGGATCCCACCCCCCAGATGTGGGGGTAAAAAGATGATCCAAAATGTTTACAAAAATTGTCGACCTCCCCCCCCCCCCAATTTGTTTTTACTCCCCACCCCCCCCCAAAATAAATGTATTTTGTATATATGCATACACAACCTACATACAATAGTAGTATCTACTGTCTCCACACTCTACATACAATAGTTAGTAGAGGACATCAGTGGTGGCGACGGGCGAGGCGTGACTTAAGAGCCACATGGCTCACAGGGCTATACAGGTACCTAATAGATTAAACTTGAAACTTGACATGCCTCGGCCACCGAAATTCAAGTACATATACAATTCAAAGCTGTTTTGAGGACATGCCTAAAATATGCAAACCTTGTCTTTCAGTTTGGTTATGCTTGACTTCTGAGCATAACAGACCTTTCGCGATACATGGCTTCATCTGCTGCAACCAATGGGTCACCAAAGGTGCGTGAGCGACGTTACATGTGCATTCACAAATGTGTGCTGAGCTATGCAAGCCCTGTTATATCTTTGCTTACGTATGGAGGCTTCATTTGATACATTCTTAGCACTATTCCTAATGAATTTACATTTGTTTTCTTATTGTAGGTGACACAAATGACAATACAGTACATTCAAATTTTTATTTAAAGCTTTCGTGACTGCAGGGATTCGTATTCTTGGTTCTTTCGGTAAAGTCACGTAGAAGGGAAATTAGAAAATAATAAAAATATAAAACAATAAAATTCTCACGACGTTTCGACTGCAACACAAGAAATCATCATCAGGTGTGAAATCCACAACAATAAAATTTTCAGTGTTGCAAGAACATTTTCTTGTTGTGGATTTCACACCTGATGATGATTTCTTGTGTTGCAGTCGAAACGTCGTGAGAATTGTATTGTTTTATATATTTTTTATTTTATTATTTCCCTTCTACGTGACTTTACCGAAAGAACCAAGAATAAACAGTACGTTCAGTTTGGACTTTTCTACGTTTGCTCTTTTTGGCAGTAGGTTGTTTTTGGTGTCTTTTTGTTTCTCTAGAATTTTTTTTAAAGCTCATTTTGACGAATAATGCACAGCACACTGACATTCAAAAGACAATGAACTGCTAAGGGGTGAGTGAGGGTCTGCTAAAACATCTAACCTTTATTGATGTTTCCACCCACTCACTAAGCATCATCCTTTAAACAAGCCATGGCCCCACATTTCCCTACGTGACATTTGAGTGCATTTTGTCATAATCTCTTAGATCAAGCAATTGGTTAAAATGACATGACAACATGGATATTAATACCACTTGCAAAAATGCTTTGGAAAATAAGTAGAGCGTACCAATAAGCAACCTGACATCACAGAAAGTTCAACTTTATCTTTCAAGTCAATAAAGTACTGTACGGATATTTTATTGGTTGCCTGTTTGCAGATGCAGAACGGAGCTACCACAGCACGGACTTTACGCCGGTTGCAGGCAGAAATTGTCCTTGAAACTGACACACCCCGGACTCGAGATGTAAAAAGTCTACGATCAAAGCGAGTTGCCTACTATGACAGGATGCTGAAATCTACGACAGCTCCACAAAAAATCCAGGCTCCACAGGCAGACAAATGCAAGAAACCAGCACCAAAAGAAATTGATAAATGTTCAGGAAGTAATACTGAATCCTTTTTTGAACCTAATTTAGACAAAACGATCTTGGAAGGAGCTGATCAATTGAGGCATGAAATTATTCAAGTAGATAACCCATACAATAGTGACCGTCTGTCAGATTCTCAGTGCAAAAGTGCAGTTATACACTTAGACATTGATTCGAACATGCTTAACAATGAAACATCGAAATGTGGGTTATTAAGTGAAATTAATAGTATTGCCCGAGAAGACCCCATTACAGAAGAATCTTATCAAATTATGCAAGCTTCTGGTTGTAATTCAGAAGATCATCCCCACATATCTATTAAGCGCGGAGCTGAAGCGAACCAGAACCTGCTCATTAATGATTCAGATTTACATCACATATTAGAAGACAATAGTGTCTCTGAGACACAAAAATTGAGGCATGTCCTTGACTATGCAAGTAAGATATTAAAACATAGGCAGCTGAGAAGGGTAAATTCAAATCACGATTTGAATGCGGGACAATTGGAGATGCCTCTATGTATTAATACAGGGTCTGGTTCACGAATCACAGAAAATGGAGATGATTGTTCACCATTATCAAAAAATTACATCCACATTGGTGTAAAAGAAGGTGATGGTATGCTAAAATGTAACAGCAAATCAGATATTTTGCTCTCCACACAAGTAGATGATGGAAATTATGGCTGTGGTAAATTACATTCTCAGAAATATTCATCTCAGTCCGTTTGCAATACCAGCTTTGATGAAAGTGATAGCAACCGTCAATCTAAATTTCGGGCAGATATTCCTCCTTCTAGGTCATTGGAAACAAAACAAATGAAAACCCCATTTTCAGCTTCACCAAGAAAGTTTAAACAAGAGGTAGGTGAGACCAAAACTTTTCCAGATTTAAATTTTGATGGAAATGCTTTCGTCAGCAAATCATCTCTATGTGTGGAACATGTAGAGGATGAGCACACTTTGAAGGAAAATAGTAAATGCATTTTACAGAATAGTTATCAGAAACTAACCGATTCTAGTGATGATGAGGACAATGCTGTTGTGGTGATGCAAAATATTGCATGTGAGCGTTTTACAGATAATGGTCATAGTGATCTAATGGTCCCACATCCTGAAGATGAACATTTTGACAGAATCCCTGTCAAGTATTGCTTTCGATATTCTGATATTATGGCAAATGAAATTGAAAGTGACATTAGTTCTGTCAATGAGAACCCATATACCGATAAACTTTATATTCGGGATGACATAACTTCAGAGATGAATGAAAATGGTGAGAAAATATATAAATGTACGAGTGGCATCACAGAAAGCCATCTCTCATCCTTTAATAATATGGTGCCCAGTTATAAAGATGCCACTGAAGATTGGTGTCAAAGTCAAAATCAAAGTCTTCAACATTTTTTCATGCGTGGTGAGGACACTGGCCCAAATTTACCAATAGCGTCAAAGATTGTTTTGCAGTCCTTTGACCAAGATGTAGGCAGCTCATTGGATACATCTAGGAAATCTAAAAGAAGCATCAACACGAAAAGTCTAAAGTCAGCACGGCACAAACAGAGCATTGAAAAACATTTAGACAGGTTGAGAATCCAAGAAAATCAACAGAGCAACAGAGAAGGTAATGATATAGGTTCTCAGATATTTCAATGTGATAGTAGCCTAACAGAGGCTCGCCAACACCAGACAGAAAATGGAAAGCAACATGGCCACAATAATTCATCACCAGTGATTCATGCGCCTATTCTGACCTCTGTGAAGTCAACAAAAGGTCAAACAAAAAGAGATGATGTGCACAATGCATCATCAGAGTTGGCTAGTGAACGGGAAGCAATATATTCACCAGATCTCGGCAATGTATCCTTACATGATGTGCTTGATAAACATGTCGATTCAGAAAGGAATACTGATAAAGATGACAAAATCCATCGTAAATGTTTTAACAACAGCCAGGATAGGGATCATTGGGATGTGGAATCTGGAGGTGTTGTGAACATTGTTTCGAGGAGGCCTGCAGAATTCAGCCGCAGTAAATTGGAAGCAGTAGCCGAGTCCAGCGAAGTTGAGAAGGCTCCGGTAATGAAATTTGCAGAATCCTTTTCAACTCTTTCATATCTACCACAGGCAGAGTTTAGATCAATAAATGTGGATATAAACTCTGACACTTCTTCGGATGAAGGCTCTTATGTGAAGCAGGCAGTGGTTGATCAGCTAAATGAAGATTCCAACAGACCTGGATCAGACGAGGGAGAGGGAAGATGTGAGAATAGTGCAGAGTGGAGTAAAAAAATGCAATCACTGGCATGCCCTACACCATCCTCCAATCCGAGAATAAAGGCTTCAAGAATGAAACAAGAAAATGGAAAGCTTACATCAAGTGATGGCAGCAACCTCAGAAAAAGTAAAATACAAGGTAAACACTTAATCTCTAACACATTGTAGTTATATTTTTATACTCTTTGGTTCAGCAATTGTTTTTTGCTGTGGTTGTCCTACCTGATGACGGACGCTTGTGTTGCGCCCGAAACGTCGTGATTTAATTTATTTTATTTTATACCTACGTGACTTTACCAAAAGAACCAAAGAGTATGGATCCCTGCAGTCACGAAAACTTCAAAGCCAGTTATATTTTTATTGTTAAATTATTTGCCATCAAAACAGGGTTTAAACTGACAAATTATTAATCTTTTTTACAGTTCTGTACATTTCATTGAAATGCATATGTAATCTTGTAGCTTCCATGTATTTGTAGGAAAGAGCAAGACCACCGAATTTATCAGACGCAGTGGCTACAGGAGGCACTGGGACAGGTCTAGCATTGATTGGTCAACCTACCAAAGTGGAGAACTAAAACCAAAGTAAGTACATCACACTATTATTTAGAGTTTAATATAATATACTATATATTTAGCATTATACAGTTTTGTTCTACACAGTTGATAAAAAAAGTGGAATCATTTATATCAAGTATCATTCATGTGTGTCACTGCTACATAATAGTGGGTCTGTTGCACAATGCAGGCATGCTTTTACCATAATGGATAGTGTTGTTCAGCTGTAACCATAATGGCAGTTTCTTCAGCTAGAGACAACATGTTTCGTCCTAAAGTCAATTTGCATTGGGCCCTCTTATTCACATGCATGTCCAGATTTCTGTTCATTGTTACTGGGTAAAAGGAATCCCACAAATCACAGTGAACAAACTAAACTCCATGGGCTTTGGTTTTTCTAGATTGAAAGATCGATACCTGCAAAGTGAATTGCATTCAGCACAAATCTGGATTGGCAGAATGTAACTGCAAATGCTATGCCCCTTTATAGGTAATACATGTTGACTATTTGCTGCGTAAACAAGCCAATTACTTATTCATTCTGAAAAACGTTACATTTTGCATCATTAACATTGTATAATAATGGCTTTGTAATTGTTCTTATTTTCACAATTTAGATCAGCAGTTAGAAACAGACCAGCAACAGCAAACATTCTACTGCATCAAGTAACAACTACTTCACAAAAATCAACGCCATGTAAGAACACCAGACCTTTGTATTTTTGGGGCACCGTAGACTTAACTTGTTATTCCAGGCAATTGTTTATAATTTCCTGATTGTGCAAAACAATACAACTTAAGAAATTCCGTAACGTTTTATTCTACTACTGTATGCCTAATGCGTTAAACAATACAGCATAAGTTCCATCGATGTATATTCGACTTGTGTGTGCCTAATGTGGACGTGTCTGTAAACGACAGTGACAGGCACTAAGGGTCCCACTGCCGCTTCCTCCTGTGAGTCTCAAGTCGGGAATCGGAGAGCTGTGCGGGACTCGTTGAAACCGTTGCCTCAGAGGCCGGCCAGCTCCAATGCCACTCTTGGAAGCAAGGGTGTGGGTGCAGTGAAGAGAGTCAGTAGCCGACCTGCGGGTGACTGCATCTCCGATGAGCATCAACTGTCAACTATCCCTTCGTTTATGAAGGCGAAAAATGCATGTACGTTAATGCTGGAACAGAATTGTGTGTTGACAGGCAGATGTAATCTAAGAAAATAAAAAAAACAATTACCTGTTAGGCTATGTGTCTCAGGCTGCGTAACAGGGGTTGAAGCTTAAAACCATTATCAGCACTCTCGTGGTGCTATTATATTGATTGATTAACATGTACTGGATTATTGGAGTGCTTTAATGGCTTCCCTTACTAACTTTGAGGTATGTTTACTCATTCAGAATGTTGTCAGGCAGCCCTGTTTGTTTCCCAGAGTTTTGTCTTTATGTGATTCACTATGCTGGCACAGTGTAATCGCCGTGTGGTACAAATACAATATGCCTCGTACAGTGTGTATGCAAATATAAGTTCAGTCTAATTTTATAGGATGGTATTGTACAAGCATTAAATACAATACTGTAACAATGTTTACATTTATAATTATAGAGTAATGGTGAACTTTTACAGTTGTGATCACTCCTGTGTTTATGAGAATTCACTCGCACCGGTTGTGGCAAATAACAAAGACGTTTTGGCTGTGAAACCTGATGATTACATGAGTATGTGCATACAATAAGCATGCATTTCAGTAATTGGATCTATCTAGCAGCCTTACAGTAATGACAACTGTGTGTGCATATTTTCTGAAGGATCGTTTACAATGTAGTGCCCACCACATAGCAGAGAGGACCAGCATACCACTTTCAAGTCTACTCTGATGTCTGATTAATGCGTTTACAACACATTGCGCCCTGTAAATGGAATTATGGTAAAGGTACATCGCTGTACTGCTGTTGCTTGCTCTCGCCACCACTGCTGATGGAAGGGCCTCCACTCGATGCAGTTCTAAATATTTCTAGATTTGAAGCTTTCGTGACTGCAATGATTCATATTCTTAGGTTTTTTCGGTAAAGTCACGTAGGTAAAAAATTAAAATTATTAAATAAAAATATTCAGGGCCTACCTTGGCTCCTCCCAACCTCAACCAGTATATATACAAGGACTGTTTTCTTGGAATTTATTTTTATTTTACTTTTATTAATTTGAATTTTTTACCTACGTGACTTTACCGGAAAAAAACCTAAGAATACAGTTCTAAATAGCCCTTTTAGTGGGAATTTTGGCCTACTCTTCCACGAAATTTAATTCAGAATCTTTATTTAGACTGGAGGAATCCGATGAGCTGTGAAGCTCTTTTTTACAGATGTCCAGTAGGGGTGGGTCAGCAAGTTACAGATTTAAGGAAAGGCCAAACAAGTTGACCAGGATCTTCGTGAGCACACGCAATTCACGATTATGAGAGGAAGCAACATTGCGAGTGGCGGTGGTCGTAATGCGCGTGTGTGACAGTCAATCATCGTGTGATAAATAGAAAATAACATTGGCAATGCAGTTCTGATTTTGTGCTACTTTCTGTATTTGTATATGTGGATTAAGGGACAATTACCGAGTGGATGGCAAACAATTCTGACTCCCAGGCTTACACAGCCGCATCCACAATGGTGAGATACATGTAAATATATATTGCATTCGATAGCATAAAAAATAAACATAAATAATATCAAGAAGCAGGTATTTCACAAAGCAGCATCTCCTGTCATGATTTTGAACGCACAGTATATCATAGTCTATAACATCCAGTGCATACTGAAATACTGTGACAATCACGAGATCCCTGGGATTTTGACAAAGTAATTCCACTCACCTTCACATGTTTGTAATTGTAAAAAACAAATACATAATAAAATTTACATTGTTAAACGAAAAGTGTATTTTCTTTTATCCTTTCAAAAATACCTAATTTTAAAATAAACTGCAATGGTTTTCTTGTTGGAGATGCATATCCACATTATTGGATCATGTAGATTAATTAAACTTCACAGTTCCGAATCTTGCTTGCCTATAAGGTGGTCTGTTAGTGGTTGTATAGCAAGTGGGATCATGTGAGTGTTATCCCTCCCGATGTGTGAGTTTTATTGGTTTCCTCATTCACACTCACAAAACACCTTCAAAAACGATGTTAGCTGAACATTCCAATGCAGGACCATTCTGAAAAATGTTCTTGAGACTGGTGAATCTCTCCCAGATAAACGAATTACATTATTGCTTGGTGCTGAATATCCTGTGCTGGTGATGTGCAGGGTGCAGGTTGCATCCCCAGGTGGATTTACCTACCTGAGGAACTGTGGCTTCGAGTCTTTTCCTTCCTGTCACATGGTGACCTCACACAAGCTGCCTGCACCTGCCATCTTTTCAACCGCCTGACTTCTGACCAGTCCCTCTGTAGGTGCATTCGTGGGTCTTATTCAGTGACACTTCATAAAAAAAATGTTCACTGTACAATGCATAATTGTAAAAATGTTTACAAATATTTTGTATATGAAATGGAACAAAATCTGAGAAGAAAGCAAAACCCGTAGAGAGCTACACCTATACAGAGAGACAGGGAGAGAAATGTGTGGATTAGAAAACATTCACAAGTTCTCGACATATTGGCTGTTAAGAAAATTAAGTGGACTTGGGCAGGATGCGACACTAGAATGGGCGGACGATGGCTGTTGATCAAGACTAATGACAGTGGCAGCTACAGGAGGAGCACGCCCAATAGGGTGTCCACCGTGAAAATCAAGTGATAAAATCAGCTTGTGTGCAGGAGACAGATGGATTGTTATATCACAAGATCATGAGGGTTGGGGATGCCTTTATCCAGCAGTGGATAGAATACATCTCAGTATAGGAATATACAAAGTACATAATTTTATATATTTTTTAATCTTGCTTACTATATTAACTATATTGATTATAATGTATATGAATTATCACTTGTGACCAATATGTATTATACTGTCATGTATTTTACTTTTGCATGCAGTGTGTTACCATAGAAGTAAAGTGATCATTGTAAGAATCATCGAGGGTTTTTTTTTCCACCCAAATTCACAGTTTTTCTGCATAACACGTAGTCAGAGGCTTGCTCGGTCACCAATGCTTAGCTTAAATTATATTTAAATGATTAACATACTGGCATAAAAACAAATTAAATATTATTGTAGAATGTTTGTCTGTAAGCTAACTGGCCGTCCCCTCCGAATGACTGCTCCCTTATTTGTTTGAATGACGTTCTCTGTACAAGTTACCAGAAGTGCTGAGATCAGGGTTAAGAACCCACATACTTTGGACCCCCTTGTCAATGTGGTCTCTATACTGAATACCCAAGCACACACATTTCACAGGCTGAAGTAAAACAAGTCAGCCATGTTTTTCCCAATGCTAGATTACATTTAATGTCCATGTGTGTCATTACCTTGACATAATGTGTGATTGCAGAGTTCTTAAACTAATTTGTGCTGCTGACATCAAACAAAAATTTATTATTAACTCTGGTAGAGCAATCGATCACCCCTCTTTACAGAAGGTGGTAAAACAACTACTTTTGAAATGCCTTCAAGTGACCTCTTTAATCTTAGGGGCGATGCAATTTCCCATATGTCATGCGCTAGAGATGTTCAATTCATAGCAGTCAAACCAAAACCTTTAATTTTCAATGGTTAAACCGTTTCCAATTTAAGTAAAAAATATACAAAAGTAGTGTGATTGTTTTTGGAATCACTGTGATGACTGGGATGGAAAAATGCAGCTCACCACTAAAGAATAATATTGGTGGATGCCCATATTTGAATAGTCTCAACAATGCCACCTGAGTACACTCAAGTCTGAGCCATCCAGCGACCTCCATATGTTATAAACATTGACTGATTTTAACCAAAAAAAGTTGCTCCACTGATATTTGAAACCGAAATAGTTATATTATTTATCAACGACTAACAATAGCCACGTTCAGTCTCTGAAAATAAGATGTTTACATTTCATTTGGAGAACAAAACACAACTTCCAAAGAGAACCTTGACTGAACTTTAAATTGTAATATTGCGTTCATCATTGTCACCTTAATATGATTAAACAAAATTACCATCTCATTGAATTGGTGGAGATGATTAATTTCACTTAAGTATGAGCGTTTACACAGCCCACTCATTGCCATATTTTCCACAGCATTAATGATTTAAAATGAGTACTCGTAAAGCGTTCCCTGATAGCTGTGTTCAATTCAAAAACCTTAATCTAATGTAATGTCAAGCAAAATTGGTTTTAAATAGTGGCAATTATTTATCATGTGTGCTTAAATTTCATACATTTTATACATGTAGACCTATTTTGTCTTCATTACTTCAATGTGTAAATCTATTTCTCAGCATTGTACACCTTTAATGCCATCCAAAATTACTTTGAAAAAGACACTTGAGAGAATACCCAAAATGTAGCAGAAAGCCCCTGGGCAGGACACAGCTATGAGTGTGTGCGGCGGTGCCCTGCACATGCGTCTTTTGACAGGGAGGTCCGTGCGGATTGAGGGCAGCGTGCGGCTGAGCGACGCATGGTTGGCCAGCGTGGGGCGCCGACGCCCAGAGGGCCTGTCCCTGACGAGGTGTCGCGACACGCGGGGGACCGTCACCGCGGCCGGCCTGCGAGCCCTCTTCAAGCAGTGTGGGGACCGCATCACGGCGAGTATACACAATCCTTGCACGGACATGAAAATAATCGCTGCCGCCTTCTTCTTCCATGCTTATTATGGGATAACGCTGAAAAGTCTGCACGGAAAGTTTACAAACCCACTTTGCAGAATTATCAAATGCCCAGAAATCTCAAAGGTGCTCCACGAACCCTAGCTTCTAAACACTGGATCACGAGTAAGTGGCTCCATACACAGCTGAACACTGGCGGAGCCAGTGGGGGGAGTGGGGTGGCACATGCCTCCCCAATGATCCGATCGAAATCCCTAATTTCGATCGGATCATTGGGGTTTATTAGTAATAAATCGGCATTTTGTGACCCCCACTGCCCCTGTGTAGCATATTATGTACCAGGGACTCTAAGAGATGATTGGTCAATAGTCTTGAGTCCATAATTGGCAATAAGTAACGGAAAAGCAGTTATAAGGGACTCACAGAATTGTGTGCAGTTGCGTATACAGCACACGACTTCCCTGAAAGCGCGATGCCGATCACACACGGTTCGAATTTGGCTCTCGATCGATGGTTGTGCCATTGCCGCACACGCGTCGAATAAAAAGCAAGGCACAAATCCTTACTTACTAACAACTATATCATTCTTCATTGCTGGAGGGGTTGCCCCCCTACCTGAAAATCCTTGCTCCGCCATTGCAGCTGAATATTTTGTTCTGCTGAGTATTGATGGAGTGGAAGGTGACCTTTAGAGAAAAAAAGTTCTGTGAGTGAAGCATCATTTTCCCCTTTTTCCCCTGTGGTTTATAAAAAGGCTTGGAGCTAATTTGGTTTCAATTATCAAAGATTGTCAAGAAAGCAGAAATAATATATCATTAATGCAGCACACTGAATAATTAGAATACTGATTTAGATCAATAGGCAATGAAAAGCAATAATTACAGATAAAATGTTATTAGAATCTGCTTTAATAACATCGTAATTAACTAATAAGTCTCGTGTTGATCTGGTTCTAAGATCTTCACAAATTGATTTGGACAAACATGACAGTGTTCATTCCCATATTTTGCTATGAAATAGGTCCATAATATAGGTTTTTGGGTTAGATCACGTTATTTATAAATGTGTCGCAACCCTCCACCACCCGACACGGCCAATCAGTGAAAAATGTGTCACGTTGACAAAAGACAAATAGTTCACTACTTTAGCCCACCGGTGTGTTGAAGAGTGAATCCACAACAATTACAATTTGAGTAGTACGACGTTTCGCTGGAAATTACATCCAGCATCTTCGGGCGATTTGCCAGAATAGTGAAGCCATCCACCTGCTTCCAGTCTTAAATAGTGCAGAACGACGTCAACATCGTAGAACTCCATCAGGATTCGAGATCAGAGGCGGAGGTGGGGGTGTATGCAATTATGTAATAGATCAGTAATCCACCACTTAGCATGTGACTCACCTGTAAGGAATTGCAATGTGTGTTGTGTATTACTTAACAATACGCTTCCAGGCTGCGCTGAGTCTATAGCTATCACAGCGATTAAAATTATTGGAATTCTTCTCAATTTAAATTGATTCTCTAACTAATCTTGGCCAGTAATAATGGGTTCTGCATAACACTTCAACGTTATCAAAATCAATTGAATGTCCTTGTTGGCAATAAAATACGTGCTTACAAATTCATGTAGGTTGAGTTTGTCTAGCAATAAGAGAATGTGTTTTGCAACGACCTTTTGATAAAGATGTACTGTGACATGGAAGAGCACACTGAAGTTACGAATTGATTCACAAAGTTCACAAAAATAACTTAATCAGATGTAAGAAAAAACAACCTCTGTCCTAAAGTATCTGTATTCAGGTTCTCTCGCTCCTCTGCCAAATATAACATGCAGTTGCAACAATTTTTTGCATGTCTACCGTGTACATTACATACTGAGCACAAGGCATGGAATAATACTGGTAGGAACCTCCTGGTTACACCAGCCCACAGGGGATTATTGTGTCCGTCCGTCGTGCATCCAAAAATGTGAGGGGTGGGGTTGGGTGGAGAGGGGAGGGTGGGGAGGGGCTGGGTGGGGAGGGAGGGGCTGGGTGGGGAGGGTGGGGAGAGGCTGGGTGGGGAGGGTGGGGAGGGGCTGGGTGGGGAGGGTGGGGCTGGGTGGGGGCTGGGTGGGGAGGGGCTGGTCACCTCATGGTGCCCTTATAAAACTCAACGTTTAACATACTCACGCCGGCTTGTGCCCGCCCTCAGTCGGGCATATTTGCGGAATACACCACGCCGCCGTTGACCCTGACCATTGACCGAACAACTCAACGTTCCTACCAGCTCCCTCCGCAGGAATGTATTTATCCATTTAGTGATGTGATGAGTTGGATTTGATTCAAGAATTGACAATTTTTCGTCTCATTTTACCATATAATTTGCATTGTTTCTTTTTTCATAACATTATTTCGTACATTTTAGTTTGTTCCGTAAGCCTGATATATCATTATCATAACATGTGTATCTAATGTTCTTAAATAGTGAATATCGATTCTTAGATGCGCAATTTAATATGTGTATCTTGAACATAAGCATCTATTGCAATCATTAAATCAATGCATGTTATATGCCTGCTGGGCCTTAATTGAAATGTGCGGAAGAAATCAGAATGTTAAATTAATGGAATAAACATAAAGGTCTGTAAACAGAAGGGCTTTGTGTGAACAGTGATTTTTTTTTTCTCATAAAGAGTGACATTCAGCTGTAACGGGAGGCTGCTTCCATGGAGACCATCTGGAGGCAGAAAGGGACTTTGTTTAATGGCACGGTGAAAATTAACTTGTTCAGTGACACAATCAACCAGGGAAAAAAGGAAAACGAGTTACTGGTAATAAAACAAACTCCCGAAAGCCTCTAATGTGGGACCTAGATATCAAACGTTACACTGAAGGTACGTTTTTGCAAAATAAATTAAGTCTGTTGTGAATGTTTAACATATGTTCACCATTTCTATGTAACCATTCAAAGCACGAAGGCAGAATAAAATGTGTCTACGTGCATATGTTTGTTTAATGGCTTTCTAGAAATATAACTTCAATTCATAGTTGAATATCAAATGCTTGTCAAATATTTGTCGGGTCTATGTTTTTCAGAATACGGTATACAAATAATGCAACAATGATCGTATTATTCATGTGAAAACTTTACTCATTTGTTATTAACACAAACATGTATAGTAGACGAAGTTTGAAATGTGTGTTTGTGTGTGCGATGAAGAAGATACATTACCTTAAAACGTCACCAATTACATATATATTTTCATTTGAAGACCACAGTGTTATTGACAAATATGTTCAGTGCCAACTCAGAATCACCAAGTAATTAAATGATTCATACACTTCGTTTTCAGGTCCTGCGTATTTCTAGGACGTTTTATGTTGCAGTCTCTGCTATCGCTCTTGTAAGATTTTGATAGATCATGTTTTTGTATTGTTTGTTGTTGTAACATTCTTACTTGCCCCTGTGACAAAGAGCTTCATAGCTCATCGGATTCCTCCAGGATAAATACATATTCTGATTCTGAAGAGCTGCTCTCTGACTCTCATAAAGTTTTTGCCAATTGATGATTTGGGTGTTTATACGTATGTATGTTCAACTTCTTTTGTACCGTATGTAGCTGACAACGCTTATTGCAGGTGCAGGCGTTTCTTGTGTGTCATCTCAGGAGGCAAACATATCGTGGACTCTATTCTAAATTCGTGTGTAAATAATTATGCTGGATGGCACCGAATGGATCTCTTGAATATAAATGCTCTAGACAAGTTGGGGCAAGACAACACTTAAAAAATACACAATGGCCTGGGAAACCCGGTGCTTTGTGCCTTCGTTTTATATTTGTCTTGTTTCACAAATATTTTCCTGGCTGTGCAAATTATATTTGACACAAATGGTACAGTCACATACATAACTGGCAGACATGCGACACGTCTTTTTTCTCGGATAATTTGAACAGTTTTTTATTGTATCAAGACAAGACCGACATTGCTGCTTGCTTGCTCTGTCTGGCATTTTACCATGAAAAAACATCCATCCATGGTCTGACATGCATTTAAATCAAGCACAAATAATGCTCGAATACAGTAAAAACACGCTTTCCTTTATATATAGGATTTTTTTTCGATTGTCATGGAAAAGCAGTTGATCTTGTTTGCAGTGTGCTTGGGCACATTAATCATGTTCATGGTAGGGCAGTGTGATTCCTGACTCGAGGGGTCTGATGCAATGATGGAGGTGTAGTGTTCTAATGTTCAAACTTGCCTATACAGTAACTCTTTTTATATTTCTAAAATCACTTTAATAGACACTCCAGGGTATGTATTTTTTTACGTTGGCACTGGTTAAAAAATAATCATTGCCATTTTATTCCTAAATAATATATAGATGTATCTACAGTATGTTGAACTTCTTTGGCACCATACGTGGCCAACCGTGCTAATCGGAGGTGTAGGGGGAAAACAAACGAAACCTAAAAAGCAGTTCTAAAGACATTATTTCAGTCGTTGAGGTCATCGCATTATTATCATTAATATGAACCTTATAAGGCATATTATGAAGCCAAACAACATGACATGTAGCCATGTTTTTTCCGGTAAACCGAATTGCTTTAATTGCCTTAAAATGTAATCTGTTATGTAGTTGATACAGGCGCTAAGATGTTCAAACGCCGAATAAACGCCTATTATAAGACATCAATTCTTAATACGAGCAAAAGGGTCTCATGGATATGTTATGTAGTTTATAACCGCACCAAACACCCTAGTTATAAGTGCACTTTGTTGTCTTGCTGTTATTTAGTAAATCCTAAGACACTCAAGTTCTGTATTATTATGTTACAATGCCGCTCCGTCTCCTGATTAGTTGAACCTATATTTTATTTGTTGTTGAACTTTGCCTGTAAACAGTGAAAGCACAATAACGGCTTAGAAGTTGAGCTCTTGACATTTTAGTTTTTCAACAGAGGCGTTTACAGCTGCCTGCCAACACACATTATAACTCCATAATACAGGTTTTTGGGTTAGATCGCATAAATATAAATGTGTCATTAAACCCACCACCACCCAACACAGACAATTAAGGTTTTGTCACGTAAACACAATATTCCAATTCGTCACTAGTACAGCACTAACCGGTGTGTTGGAGAGCAAATCCACAACATTTGCAATCTGAGTACGACGTTTCGCCAGTAATTACAACCGCATCATCAGGCAGTCAGCCAGATTTGTGGGTGTAAATAAAACCTGTATTATGGATGATATTGGTCACGAAAGCCTACGTGTTAAACTGACACATTATAACTTTTAAAATACTGTACAGCAAAACCTTGGATTGCTAGTAACTTGGTCTGCGAGTGTTTTACAAGACGAGCAATTTTTTTCAATAAATATTCATTTGATAAACGAGCGAGGTCTTGCAATACGAGTAGGACGTATACGCTTTGTCTGACGAGCATCAAGTGATCACAACTGATATACGAGTGCTTTGGATTACAAACACGTTTCCAGAACGAATTATGCTCGCAATCCAAGGTTTTACTGTATATATGCCTTGTAAGGTTAATTAAAAAAATATTGGAAATATCTATACACAGATGTATTTTGTTCCTCTTTGATAAAATGTACAGATATTTGGATAGTTACTTTCCGGATTTATTTCAATGGGTTTTTACATGATTTCGTAAATATAACATTTTCTAAAGAACCTTTAGTATTTAACGCAATTTAATAATCTTTGTGAAATAACAATAGCTAGCAAATCTGCAGTAGAAAAAAACAAGTTAAGAAAATGTGTGAACATTGACACTGTGCATAATGTACAAAGAGTGATGTGTTAATTAAAATTGCTCTTTAATTCCAGATTGCTAATTCTAATTGGCATTCACTAATGGGAAAGGAAATGTAATGGCTGGGCTTCTGTGCATTGTCAGTATGCAAATACATTTATTCAAGCATGCTACCAATTTTATGGGTGGTCGTGGTGCAAAACCACATGTTGTTCGTGAAGCATATCTCTTGTAGATTTGAAGCTTCAGGAAATATTTCTGCTTATGAAGTGAAATTATTCTTCCATCCTTGATTATACCCATAATATATCAAAGACTGATCGATTTAAAGAGAATGTCCTAAAATTCTTCAATATCTAGAAATGACAAAATTCATTGCATCAAGGTTTTAGAAGGCTAACACTGCAATTTTGTCCTCGAGTGTGATAGAAAGGTGGTGTATGATGCACATTGTATATTTCTGTAGGATTACATCAATACATTGCACGTGTTTACATGTACAATAATACATTTTATTTAAGGTGAAACGCTTTCTGTTTTTAATTAGAGTAGTTGCTAAAAGGTTTTAAGTATATCGTAAGTCTTTTTTTATTATGTGTGAACAAAAGTAAATTGACACCCACAAAAAATAATTGTCCATGACATCACAAAGTATAATACCAACACGTGGAACAATTTTGGGGGACATTTTTTGCCGTTGTTTTCTCAGCAGCTCATTCCATTTGTGCTGTCAGCATAATGCCCTTGAGACAAAAGCATCCATTTGGAAATCTCAGAGAAGTAACCTCTGTTTGACCGTTTAAATATATTTTTCACATGACTCATCGTGTGGATGATATGTCACAGTTACATCTATGCCTAAATACAACACCGCATTGTTGGCATTGTGTCATGCATCGTATTTTTGTTAGAGATGTACCACGCAGATCAACGTGTGACGATATTTACGTAAAAATTGCTATTCTTGAACGATTATCACATTTTTGGATGCTGTCATGGTATGATGGTGAGCACACTAGATTTGCAATCCAGAGATTTCCATTTTGATCTCCCGGAACGGCATCTGAAGCAATGGACAGGTGTCTTAATTCCGCCCACCTCTGTCCACTCAGCAGTATAAATTGGCACACCACAGTTAGGGCATTGGCAGGCCATGCGCGGTAGAGAAAAGTGGAGATAATCCCACTTCTTCCAAGATGTCTGGCCAGTGTGGAACTGGAGGCCAAATATATTTTTCGAGGGGCTTTTCTTGTATCCCCTCTAGTCGAGGCCTATATGGCAGCACCAGCATAAACAAGCAATTGTCGTGCTGCTGCTTTAAAAATATAATTGTTTTTATCACAATCTGCTGTTTTTTGTAGGAGCTGGATGTCAGTAACTCTGCTGGCGTTACCCTGACGGGTGACTCGGTGCTGCTACATGCGAGCACGCACTGCAGAAACCTCTCCAACGTGAACCTAGCCTGGAGTGCAGCCACGCAGAATGGGGTGATTGCACTCGCCCGCTCCGTGTCCCGGTGAGAGGCCATCGTCCGCCCACCCTGCCGTTCTTCTGCACGCACACCTCCTCACTCACGTTCACGCACTGCTCTCGATCCGCTGAACAGCTGTTTACTCTATTTTGATGTAATATTACAAATTAGCAGCATTTCTCTAATCTACGAGGCTTTCCTCCCATTGACTTCATAAAGGACATGTGTTTTTATGTAACTTTACACGTGTAGATTGGAGAAGGTGAATCTAAACGGATGTCCAGTTACCGATGAAGCCATCAACATTTTGCTGGAGCTGCACGGACAGTGGTGAGCTGAGAAGAAGTGTACACTGTGATTAGCTATTGAAAGGACAATATATAGCCTGTGATATGTCTAATCAAAGAAAATAAAAAAGCTAAGTACACATGCCCTCATTCATGTTTGATGTGTATCTGTAGCCTGTCGGTTTTAAAGGCAGTCATTTCTGATGAGCGTAATTTCTGCGACAGATTTAACGACCTGTTTGACGTAAGCAGAGCAATCATCATATTTAAGCCACTTTTAATATCCTGCAGCCTGACATAAATGTGCTATGTTCAGATGATTTAGCAATAACTGCACATAAAATGTAAATAAAAGGCGTTATTCAGGATATTCACCGTGGCACCGTCTATAGTTTGTGACATGATGTGAATAGACCACCATTTGTGTATCAAAGTTTTTGAATATGGCTTTCTAGAAAATGAAACAACCTGTAAGAGAAATAAAGATTTGTATCTTCAGATTCTGCAAAATGCAGTTCTTGTCAAAAAAATGTCAACTGAAATTCTTGATGGTTATTGCCTATCTGTCAATTCCAGATAGTATTTGTTATGACAGCATTGTTCTGGTAGAGACTTTTTGCATGCATGCAAGTAAATGCATATTCCTTTTTTCTCACGATTGCTCCCAATAAAAACACAACTGAGAAAGTTGAGTGGTTCGTCACCTAAAAGCCATTACCTACGAGCTGGCACCTAAGTGACTGGGTTAAAACCCTGAAGCGATGAAGCGAAAAATGAATGTTGTCATTTTTGGTCTGAGATTGTTCTTGTGTGCAGCACGTTTGATGGCCTCAGCTCGGTTACAAATGACTGCACATAAAATCTGTCTGGAATTGGTGTTTTCTGTTGATTTAGATGCACTCAGCTCTGAAGGTAGAGTATGGGTGAAAGCAGGAGAGTGGAAAATGCTTGCAAAGTATACTCCAGAGAGCTGGTAAAGATTTTTGTGGATTAAACATTAGAAAAGTCATGAATTAGCTTAATCCAGGATATCAAAGAGTAAAATTATCAGCCTATATTAATTTAGCGTTTTACATAACAGATTGAGGGGATGAATGGATACAACAAAGTCGGCTTCTGACTAATATATCGTAAATGTTTAGCTCCTGCAGCAGATATATTTTTCATAGTTCTTCATAATACTGTTCATAATTAATTAAACTATTGACGATAAGGATGTTGCACAAGCTAGCAACAGCACCACGTGCCAGGGAAAGGGCAACAGCGTTTGTGTGGTGGTGTTGCTAAGGATTATGTAAAGCAATGTTTATTATTCTATAGTGTTTTATTATTTAAACCCATGTCTACAGAGATGTGATTCGTATATGAGACGGGTTTCCCTCCAGCCGCCAAACCCGATGCCGATATTCATGCAGTGGGCCAATCATGGCTTGGAGTGTGTGGTGACCGAATGATTCCACAGCGTCATGACATCATTATGCAAGACCTGCCCACTGCCAAAGCCATGGCAACAGGTTGGGGAGGCCTTCATTCATCAGTGGATGGATAGTAGCTCATCAGGATGACAATGATCCTAACCTAGCTTTGTGTTTTATCTGGGAAATCCACTCATCAGTTTATTTGTTGAAGTAATACATTATCTCTGCCTGTGAATTGCAGTTTGACGGAGTTGGAGCTGTTTGGGTGCCATGCCCTAACACCGTCGAGCTTGATGCACTTGGGAGAGAAGTGCCCCTCACTGCGGGTCCTCAATTTGGGCCGAGTGCCCAAGGCTACGGACACCTGCCTGATGCGACTGGCCACCAGCATGAAGCTTGTGCAGACTTTAAACCTGACTGCACTTACTGCTGTTGGTGATACTTTTTTCATTCTTGCTCACATCGTTAATGGTTATAATGATTGGTTTTTGACAGAGCCCTATATGTCAAGGCGTCCCAGAGCATTTGACATAACATCTCATCTCAACCCATTTAAAAGTGCATCCCCAGTGGCAGCTGTCCCTGTGGGCACAAGGTGACTCAGCGCCTGGATTGCAAACGGGCATTAGTCTGCCAATAGTGGACAATAATTGCTCTGTATATTCTCAATTGAGTTGTTCGAATTTTGCAAATGTACACTGACGCAGGCACGTAGTTGGTTTACTCTTACGAATGACGTCGGGATCTTTGACGGCCACTGTGAAGCAGACGGCGCTTAGTATTACGGCTATTGCACCCACAGTAATAATCAGATCAACCGCTGCCATTCAACCCTGAATCTCTGCAGCAAGTGGCTTACCCGCTACCACTAGGCCGTGTTACTGCCCAAATAACAACACAAGTCAATACCGCAACATATTTTGTGGTTAACTCAAAGCTTTCGTAACTGCAGGAATTCATATTCTTGGGTCTTTCGGTAAAGTCACGTAGATAGGTTTTTTTCTTTGAACCTATCTACGTGACTTTACTGAAAGACCCAAGAATATATTTTGTGGTATTAAACTGTGTATTGGAATGAATCATGATGAAGTGCTTGTAGTTGATTATAAGACCATAGTTTATTTTATATATGTTTTTGTGAAGCATAATGGAATTTGTTTTGATAGTGTTACTGTATTGTCATATTTTGTAGGTCAGGGATCAAAGTGTTCACATTTTTTCTCAACACTGTCCAAATCTACAACATCTCATCCTCACATCATGCCTCCAGATAACGGATAAATCGCTGGTGGAGATTGCAACTTACCTTCCTAAAATATGGTAATGTTTACAAATTATAATAGCTGCTGGTAAAACGTTTAAATGCATTGCTTCAGTTTCCATTAGTATGACAAAGACACAACACATTTGGATTGTAATGAATAAACACTTTATAAACATCTGTATTGTGTTTACTACGCTATTAAATGCAAGTAAAAAACTATAATGATCCTCAGAAAATAATCATAATCCTCAATAGGTTTATTTTTCTTCAACATTTACAAAAATACAATTAGATAAGAATTGTGGAAATATATTCATTGTACATCTGCATTCAATATAGCTCTAAACAAAATATTTACTTTCGTGGGGTTGTTCATTATATACTTCATTTATAATATGTTGCTCACCATGATTATAAGCTCAGGAGGGCAATTGCATCTCGAATAAAATAGTGGTGTCAAACGTTGCTATTGAATTCCCCGTAAATTGGCTCCTTTGTGCTCTGTTCTTGCTGCAGCTCGTTGGATGTGAGTGGATGTAGGCGCGTGTCGGATGTTGGAGTGCAGGCTCTGGCCATGAACTGCCGCCTCTTAAACACCCTGGACCTAAGCTCCACCTCCATCTCCAAACGAGGGTACCTCGTCCTACTGGGCCATGGAGATACTTCGGAGTGTAGAACTCCATATGTTACAGGCTTGAGACCTATAGCTGTAAAACGGACTTCGTTTTTTTTTTATTTAAGGAGCTGGTTTACGCCTCGATCCATGTTATACTAACTCTGCCCTCAGTATTATCTCAGTGTGTCAGAGACACTTTAAAAGACATTAACTGCAGTCCTGGTCACTTCCTCCATTATAAATATCAATAATACTGTTCTAAAGAGGAATGCGTGGAAATAATAGGTGATGTCTTTGGCCGTTTGACATCGCTATCATTATGGGTATGCTTATTATGCATGCTGTTGCATCATTAAACTCTTTAGTACTGTCGCTCAAACTAAAGTGTGTTGTAGAATAATAGAGGGCAGATAAAAAAAGTGCATGGGCATTCAATTAAATGCACATGTTGTTAAGAATAAGTGTCTAGTAGTTAGTGGTGAATTGAATTTCAAAAGATAGATAATGTAGGGGTCTTGAAGAGTGCATGTAAAGGTTTACATAAATATAAGTAGGCAGTAGTTAATGGATAATTTTATAGAGATTTGAAAGGTTGCTTGAACAGTGCTTTACAACATTTGCTTTGAAAGCAAGTAAATTGGAATGTGTGGACATAAAAGTGGTAAAATCCAAGTCTGTCCATTTTCATAGGAGTTATCCCAATGCATGTTTGTTTAAAAAAAATCACAATATTACGTGGCCTTAATGGTGACAACTGTGTTAGCTGAAGGGGCAATACTTGTTAATGGAATTTAACCAGACAGGTTGTAATGTATATACTCGTACATATATTTTACAGTTTGTTTGATTTGTTGCTAGGAGAGCCGAGTGACATATTACATTCACTTCTTGACAGTGTTTATGTTAAGATTAAAGTTCTCTTTGGTTTATCACCTCAACAACTATGAAGACATTACACAAGTGAGATGTACAAGGTAGCCCAAAAGTCAGGACACATTGGGTTACTTCATTTATTGTAATATCTAGTTTTCTTCTTTTTCTTCCTCTGGGTCATCTCAAATCCGTTGCTTACAGAACTCGACCAAGAACCCCGAATTAATTGAGACAAAACGTAATTGATGAGCTTTCAAAGGTGACAGTCGTAATCTTTAAAATACAACATCCTAAATTAATTTGAAAAAGGTAATTAATGCATGCATTCATGTTTGTGGAAGTCAGTTTAAGCATTTTTACATATAAATGAAAGAACCCTTTTCTGATTTATTAAAATAAATAACCCGCTGTGTTCTGACTTTTGGACCACCCTGGATAATATTTGCTGGTGTTCAATGTTAATCAAGTTTCAAATGTATGTAGCACTTGAATATCTTGATAAATTGACTTTGTGTCTATTATAGTCACAGATATACATTGTTTTCATTGTATAAAACACGTTAATTTTGGTAGAAACTGGACACCCATTTAATGCAATCTATAATAAAAGGTATTGGAATTTTAAAATTAATTATAATTGGCTTGATATATATTGTACAATATTCACTTTTTTATTCCATGTTATATTTCCAAAGCATATTTCGTATTTTATGTGTATAAATAATTATAATTGATATATATAAAGAGCGTCTTCCAAAATATTGTCTTTTTTTCTCACAGTACTTTAATTATATTACTCGGATTAAAATAGCAGCGAATTAGTTGCATGTAAAATTTATGGTAAGCCTTAATGATCCTATTACGAATCATAATTTGTCAAGAAGCAGGCTGCAACGTACCTTCATTGTCAGTGTGCATAATGTATGTAGGTGTTCAATTAGACCACAAAGCATTCCCTCGTGTTAGGACCTCTGACATTTAACTCAATTTGACAACATTTCCATTGCCTCCATGTACTGTTTATGAAGGTTGCAAAGATCACGCTGTTGTATTCCATTAACTTTTGTGTAATATGCAGACAAATGCAAACGGAAACACGTGCATAATAGAGGCGTTTGTGGGGCCAGATCGTGTAAATATAAATGTGTTGTTAAACCCGCCACCAACATACAGCCAATTAGTAAGTTTTGTCACCTAAACAACAGGTGCGTGCAAAAATGTGGTATCTATTTTAATGTGTGTTCTCATCTAAGGAGAGTGTATTGTTGTAACTACCTACATTGAGAAATATACGTATTTTTAAAATTACAAATTCCGACGATAATTAGTGTTTCCTGCCCAGGATGCCAGAAGTGTATGCTCTTAGCGTTGCCATGGAAATCGGTGTTTCATTCTCAATGGTACCTTTCACGTGCAGTACAGCTTCTTGTCTGAATAGGTAATGTCATTACAGTATTGGCAAACAAAAACACAAAACAAACCTCCGTGAGCTTCACCTTGGCGTAGCCATTTGTCTCGAACAAAAGATAGATGGACTTTCCTTTTGTTTGGCGTGATATTTGTTGCTGCGTTTGATTCTTCATCTATGTTCCAACATCGACGAAATATTTAAGGAACGTATTTAATATATCCTCAATCATCGACAACATATTTAATAATGTTCAAGAATTGAAAATGTTACGTTTGTTGCACGTGTTACTATAAATAACAAGTCTTATGTTTGATTATCGACAATAAAGAATATTTGATAATCGAGGACACATCAACAGGTATCAAACATGTACAATTATCAAACAAATCTAAATATGCTGCATGTAATGTTGGCTATAATGAAACATCATTTATAAATATGTTGCGTTTAAATATGTTGTCAGTTATCAAACATATAATTGATATTTTAAATATGTTTAGTAAATGTTGTCGAAAATCGATCATATGAAGAGAAGCAAACATAGCAACAAATATCGTGGCTTACCTTTGTCCTTTGTGTTGTAGTTCCTAAATGCAAAGTTGGCCATCAAGCATGCTTTTGCATATCTTTTCAATGTTTTAGCTTGCGGAAGTAGGCGTTAATGTATTTTGCAAATGTAGAGGCAGAGTCTAAGCTTCATCACAGCACCAATACAACTTGTGTTATATTACCAGTTCGGCAATTACCCCACTAAATAGTTGAGGCATTGATAAGGGCTGGGTGCAGTCTTTTATCAGATGACCATTCCGAACATACCTTTACTTGGAATGTATGCGCCATATAAAAGATTAATTGCATTCCATTACTTCCAAGTGTAATTTCTGCTTGCTGTGTTCAATGTTCTGCTTGCGCGTGTGCCCATCTCCTGCAGTGTGTGCCTCCTAGGATCCTACTGCCGTGACTCTTTGCAGAGTGTCAAGCTCAGCTTCTGTCAGGACATCACAGAAAATGCAGTTCATAAACTGGTGGAGAATTGTCATAGGTATAATCTCTATATAAGTAAAACATATACACACATGCATTGACGTGATTATATGAAGCATATTTAGTATATAATTGCATGGATGTACTTTGTTTTTTGTTGTATGATATTTATTCTCTTTTTGTGGATTTGTGTTTAGGCTAAAGCTACTCCATTTGTATGGGTGCCGTGCTGTCAAAGATCTCAATGGCATCCAGAGAGCAAGGCCCTCTATAGAGATCCACCACGATTTACAGTCGAGAAAATGATTTAAGAGCAATTGCAATAACATTACTTCCAAACATATTTAATTGATATGAAGTCTGTTGCATAGGTTAGCATGATGTTCAGATTACCCTGTGCTAAAGAGCCACAAATAACCATCACTAAAATGGAATGTGAAGAGTTATTCAGCATGTTCTACATATGACAACTTTACAATGAACATCTCCACTATTATTACTATAATGACTTAGAAACAATCGTTGTTCAGCAGTGTATAAAAGACAGATATGTTAATCACATTTTCGCAAATGACCATAAAAACCTGGCAGAGCAGTCTGTTTTTAAGCAATTAAGCCAAATCAAGCGTAAGGACACGAATTGGGCTTTTAATTAACGTGGAACTAAGTCTAATTCAAACATTGGACATATGTACTGAGTATATTTGTGATCTGCCCATTATTCCAAATTCGCATCTCCAAAGGTAAGCAAGCTATGTATTTGTAACAATGCATCAAATTATTGGGAGGTAAATTGTTTTTGTTCTCATATCTGCTTGAGATGCAGCAAAATATGTGAATTGCACACATGGTCATCATTAGCATATGTGCCCTTTAATTGGCTTTTGAGATGCAACGATCATTTGGTTGCAGTTCATGTCTTGTGAATTTGGCTGACCTGTTGATGGATCCAGGGTCCCAGATGACAATTGAAAGCATACATAATAGAACCCAGGAGAGAGCATACAGACACAGCACTGAGAGAACAGAGGGAGGCAGAGAAATCAGAAATGGAGAAGCCAAGATTTAAACGTGGATACACCAACGATAGCAGTAATAGAGCACCATTAGGATTATTAAGAATATTCAGTCATTGTTCTATAGCATGAGACAATCGTGGTCGGGCATTAATGTGTCGTATTAGGCACATGCACTGCCCTGTGGGATGTGTCATGTCCCACTTAATGGGCTGTTGACACTTGGGTATGTGGACATCGTGGTGCCAATGTCACCCAGCCTATGGGCCCTGATTGGAGCCACTTCGGCAAATTCTCTCAGGCTGCTGTGATTATAAGATGCAAATAGGACCGAGCTGGGTATGTAACAATGCATCAATTATCGATTTAAATGAGATCCAATATTCGTGCTAGTGCATCGAATTTTGCTTGCACGACTTTATTGTTTTCTATTCAGTTATGCTATTCTTGAAAAAAATCACTTTTTTTTTGTAATGACCATGATTTGTGATAATTCATCGAGCTCCAAGGGGGGGAAATTGTTACACGGAGATATGGAGCAGACTCGGTGGAAATCTGTTTTTTTCAAATCCACGACATCGTCTGTGCCATCAATTGGCCTTAGATTTTTTTAAAAATGCAAGTTTTCTGAGTTTCATCTGTCACTTTTAGCTCATTAGGAAATATGATGAAACGTCGCAAAACTCTTTAAAGGGGTATATCTACATGTGTACTGCATCTGCATCTTAAAACTGTTAAATTAACACATTTTTGTAAAGAGCGTGTGCTTTATATAGAAACGAAACATTGCCCGATATATAAATGTTGCTTGTGTGGTTATAGTGTAACTTTAATGTGTCAATTGCTTGACATCGTGATATACTTTTACATGAATCAGGAAAGATTTGACATATTCAATGTCAGCTGTAGTGTTTTGCTTTTCTATGTAAAATATTAAATGCTAAATTATGATTGTATACTTTTCATTAACTTCTGATTATATTACCCAGTGCTGCAAAATAAAGTAATGGAACATTTAACACAAGTTTGAAAATCTCGAATGTTTATGTCTACATTAAATCTGTTTGAGTCTCACTCACAACATATACTAATGCATGCTTCCTTGATGACAGTCAAATGTTGTCTGATTGTTTGGAAAAGTTGTGCTTTTTAATATAACGTTGAGAGCATGAACACTTTTAACATGACACTCACGTGTCATTCCATAGCAGACCCAACACAACAACGTCCACAGCAATGGATAAGCTTAAACCGCATTTTATTAACAATTACTTTGTTGCATCACAGCTTCCAGGTTTTGCCCAACCCCATCTGCCCAGTGTTCTCACACCACGAGATAGCACGTCTTCACAACAACCACCCTACCCGCATGCTCTCACTCAAGTCGCCCGTCTCTCTGTGATACACAGGTTTCCATGTCTTCCCCGAGCTCATTCATCATCTCAGTCCTCAGAAGTCAAACCTCCCATCTTTATGCTGAAAAATCCCAACCCCTTGTTCACTCCTGTCCATCCTTCCGACTTGCCTTCCCACAAACGCTCCTAGCTTATCCACATTAAGGTAAACAGGCAACACTGGCGTGCTTTCGAGTCATCGGCTCAAAATTATTTAACGGCCGCTTCGTACACTCCCTATTAAACAACTCCCCACTTAAATTTCGATTTAAAGCTTTCGTGACTGCAGGGATTCATCTTCTTGGTTCTTTCGGTTTTATTTTTATGATTTTATTACTTCCCTTCTACGTGACTTTACCGAAAGAACCAAGAAGATGAACTCCCCACTTCTCCACAAACCCTGGCGCCTTCGCCACTTTAATTCTATTCTTGCGTATGATGGCAATGTGTTCAGGCGCTAATTGCCAATGTCGAGGTCTGGTAGTCACGAGAAAGCTTCAGGAGAGAGTTCGTGTCGTTTTGCTTTTCCGTTAAAGCAGCGCAGACAACAGTGGCTTGCTATGTGATCCCTAGTTTGGGTTTCATGACCACAATCACACTACTGTGGCTTGTCTTTAATTAACCACGTAAGAAGGAGATGTCCACATCGGCCAGCGTGTTCAAGGAATGTTAAAGCCAGGACGTGGGACAGAGATGTTTATTCGAATGAGGTAGATGAGAGCCTGCTCGCGATCCACTTGTTACTAATACCCTCATCTAGGCGAAATGGGCATCGTTAATTATAACCACTTTAAACATTGCTTTTCCATTAAACGCTATCCCGGCTCAGCCTCCTCCTCAGCTGATGTAATAGCGATGCAAACACACACCAGAGACCTACTTTGTCTTATTGCAATCCCCTTGCACAAAAGCCCAATGGTCAATGTGTACTCTTTCTACGGCTCGACTTGCAGCATCACAACAACACATGCCATCCATATTCACCAAATACACATCAGAGCCTCTCGCAGTATGTGTGTTTATCTGGAAATAACGGGCGAATGCACGGACTGTACTTAAATTAACCAATTGGAACGATATCTGATCCCTGTGCCCAACCAGTGTGGTGAAGTATGGGGCCGTCCATAAATGACGTCACGCACCTAGCGGGGCGGGGGGGAGGTGAGACATTTGTGACGATGTGTGACGGGGGGGGGGGTGAGAAATGTGACGTCACATCAAAATGCGCAATTTTAAATAAATATAGACAACACGTTCTACTTAATTAAATAGACTTTTTTTAAATAAATGTTTTCTCCTACAACATCAGGGTGCAACGCCACATTAAATACGCCCTACAATGACAATAGCTGAAAGCGATTTGAAGCATGTTTTATATTTATTTGGGGGGGGCAGGGCTTTGTGACGTCATTTGAGGGGTGGGGGGGTCTGACTTTGTGACGCCGTGTGACGATGGGGGTGGGGGGGTTAAAAATCGTCCAAAATCGCGTGACGTCATTTATGGACGGCCCCTATGGTAAAACAACGCCCCCATTACCAGCACGGCGTTGGGGGGGCCTTAATCCAGCAGTGCACTGATAAAATACATGGCAATCTTTCCTCTCCTCTGCACTCATGTCGTGTTTTCGTATTGTTTGTTCTTGTAACTTTCTCACCCGCCCCTACTGGACATGTGTGAAAAGTAGATGTCTCTTCTTGGTTCTTTCGGTAAAGTCACGTAGAAGGGAAGTAATAAAATAATAAAAATAATAAAATAATTATCACGACGTTTCGGCCACAACGCAAGCAGCCGTCCTCAGGTGAAGACCAGAACTTTACCGAAAGAACCAAGAAGATGAATCCCTGCAGTCACGAAAGCTTTAAGTAGATGTCTCGCTCATCGGATTGCCCCAGTACAAATAAAGATTCTGATTGCTAAAAGGCTGTACCAATGGTTCACCCATAGCCCGTTCACTGCTCAACTTCGTAGTCTTCACGCACAAGCACCACCACCACCACGGCTTGAGGGCATTATTTAAAAGCAGCGCTCATTGCCGCCGAATTACTGTGCAGTCCCTTTCATGTGACCACTGTTTCATTGCTTTTATGGCTTTATTTTGGGGATTTTCGAAAAGTTTTTTGGTTTGGCCATGTTTGTTTGTTGTAGTACAGAGTTAGACTGATGGCCTTAATCTAAGTTGTCTTGTGGTTGTTGTTGTTTGACTTGCATCCCACTGGGATTTTTGCACAGGGTTGGTGTATGGTGATTTTTCTGCAATATTTTCATGTCTTTTCTTGGATTTTCTATTTGCACATAGTCACTTTAAGATGTTTTCTTGTGCATGTTTTTGTTTTTTGTTTGTTGCGGTTGCACCCGATTCAAGAGCCGAATGGCTCACAGGGCTATACCTAATAAATGAATTCTATATTTGAAGCTTTCGTGACTGCAAGTATTCATATTCTTAGGTTTTTTCGGTAATAAAAGTAAAATAAAATAAAAAATATTTATTTTATTTTTATTTTACTTTTATTAATTTTTATTTTTTACCTACGTGACTTTACCGAAAAAACCTAAGAATACTAATAAATGAACTTTGAACTAAATGTTATGATTGGCATTCGTTGTGTTCATTATACACGTACTCGTGAACCATGATCAAGCCACTGCTGGATGAACCAATGAAGGCCTCCCCAAGCCGCCGCCGCCACTTTTAACGATCCATATCTTGATAATAGTTTTTTTACCCTCATATCTGGCAACAAAACTGACACCTTTTTTACAAGGAGTCATGTTTACATAGACCACAATACCTGCAGTCATAATGCAAACAAAAAACATAACTCTGATAATGTGCACTGTCCTTGAAGTTGATTGGTCCAGGACAGTGCACATTATCAGAGTTATGTTTTTTGTTTGCATTATGACTGCAGGTATTGTGGTCTATGTAAACATGACTCCTTGTAAAAAAAAGTGTCAGTTTTGTTGCCAGATATAAGGGTAAAAAAACAATTATCATATTTTTACTGGCAAATGAGGTTCCAATGGTGATCCATATCTTATTTATTCACGTTTGTTTACCGAGGAAAGCCTCACAAGTCTTTGTTTCCCAGCAGGGTTCTGCCAAGTTGTGTTTTAATCCGATCCCGCGATGTCACCATCCACCTAATATCTGCACGCGAAACTAATCGCACCGCTCCATCTCCACAGTTGACGTCCTCTGTGGGACGTCTTCCATACCTTGGCTGCCACTCACATTATCATCATTATTACGTTATTGTAAATGTTGTAGATTTACTCTCCAACACACCGGTGTGCTGTACTAGTCACGAATTGGCCACGTTCTGTTTACGTGACAAATCTTACTAATTCGCTGTGTCGGGTGGTGGCGGGTTTAACGACACATTTATATATTTACGCAATCTACCCCAAACAAGCTCTATTATGGACGTTATTATTGCGTTGTTTCTTCTGTGACGCGGTTGTTTTTTGCTCCGATTTCAGATCGCGTCATTGTACTCGTTTTTTTACGATTTAGCTTTTGTCCTTTTGATGTACGTCGGTGTTGAGCAGCTCCTTGGAGACGAGTGTGTAAGTCTTTGTTATTTGCGTAGGTGGAGATTGTTCACAGCTCCGCCATGAGGACAAGCCTCACTGTGGGCACCTCTGTGGTCACAAATCTGTTGTTGTCACAAATCTGTGTTGTTGTCGCTTCTCTGTGGTGTGGTCACCGATCTGTGGTCATCTCTCTGTTTGTCTTCGTCTTGGACAATCGCCCCTACTGCAGTCCTCTCTCCCATTCTAAATATTTCTCTCCCCACCCTTAATTGAACGCCTCTCCAGATGTTAGCCATCCGACCATCTGCTCTGAATGATCACAACCCGTTCCATTTCTCATCCGGCCACATGTGCTCATAATTATTACAACCTGTTTAATTTTACAAATCGTTAACGTTTATGTATTTAGTCCCCCTACCATATGTATGTTAAACTTCTTTCGCACCGTACGCGACCCTGGTCACGCCGGCAAGCGAGACCAACCCGTTTCTATTGACTGATCACCTGGTTACAGCGAAAACAACTCGAACGCGTGCCGTTTCAAACCTTTAATGTAACGTTTAACATCCAGATAGTTTAAATGTAAAAACAAAAACTTCAACCCGTGTCCGTTTCGAATGAGGCTCAAGCGTTGAAAGCAGTTCACACGTTTACGGACTAATATAAAGTTATATTGTGCAACACCGAACTTAACCATCAACTAAGCAGAGCTGTAATCCGCGGTTTCATGCAAATCAACCTCATAAACACGAACGGAAGTTGTGTTTACTGTGAGTGTGTGTTCATATCAGCCACAAAACACAGCAATAATTCACGTCACGGACATTCCAGAAACGGAACACGTCTACCGAGGACTTTCCCCGAGTTGTATATGAAGCGATTAAATAATTTTGCGTGCATCACGATCATCAGTCACATCGTGGAAGGTGGCGACCAGTTTGGGGAGGTCTTAATAAAGCAGTGGATTAGCCGTGGCCTGTGATGGAATGCGTGTGCGCGTGACTCTTCCTAAATTGAAAATAAAACGGCATTGTCCACATAATAGAGGCTTTCTTGTGGCTAGATCGCGTAAATATATAAATGTGTCGTTAAACCCCACCACCACCCGACACAGCCAACTGGTAAGGGTTGTCACGTAAAGAGAACGTGGCCGATTCGTCTCGAGTACAGCACTAACCGGTGTGTTGGAGAGCCAAGCCACAACATTTACAAACTGAGGACTGGCTACAATCTGGCTTGGCTCTCCAACACACCGGTGTGCTGTACTAGTGACGAATTGCCCACGTTCTCTTTACGTGGCAACCCTTACTAGTTGTGTCGGGTTTTAACGACACATTCATATCATTAGACCTCCTTTGCCAGTACCAAAATATAATAGGGGTTTTCCCCTTTCTTTTGAGGCTCAAAAGAAAGCTGTCTCTGGTGTGGACCAATCAGTTTCAAGGACAATGCCATATATTATCAGTGTGTTTTTTGTTTGCATTTTGACCACAAGTATTGTGGTTAAATTTCGATTTCGTGAGAATTGTATTTTATTAAGTTGTATTTTTATTATTTTATTATTTCCCTTCTACGTGCCTTTACCGAAAGAACCAAGAAGATAGTGTGCTTAACGCAGACATAATTCCTTGTAAAAAGGCTTCAGTTTTGTTGCCAGAAAAAAAGGGGGAAACCCTTATTATGACACATCCATATATTTACGCGATCTAACCAAAACAACCCCACCTCCCCCTCTATTATGGGTGATATTGGTCGCGAAAGCCCTGGTTCTACTACTCACTCCTACGTGATGAACAGGGCATTGTCCCCCCCGTGTCGTCTCTCTGGCGTTGACCCGCCAAAGGCCACGTGGACAAACAGCGCGAGGCGGAACTAGCGACTCAAGACGCGCAAGTTGGCGTGGGGACCGTGGGGGTCGGAGACGTTTTGTTCGACAACAATAGAACAAACAAAAAACACGTCTGTCAAGTCGGGCCAGTTGTGGAACTACCTTGCCGTAAAAGGGATGGGGGAGGGCTGGTTCGTGCCATGATCGGTTTACCCCGTATTTGCTTTTTTGCTCAGCCGCTAGGCACTTGACTCACATTACCACCCCCAGCACTAAAACAAACTCCACGTGATGATGGAGGAGCCATCGCTCGTGGAGTCTTGAGTTCCGTTTGGGGGTCGTTCATAAATGACGTCACGCACCTAGGGGGGGGGGGTCAGACATTTGTGACGATGTGCAACTTTAAATAAATATAGACAACACGTTCTACTTAATTAAATAGACTTTTAAATAAATGTTTTCTTGTTTTCTCCTACAACATCAGAGTGTAGCGTCACATAAAACACGCACTACAATGACAATAGTTTAAAGCGATTTGAAGCATGTTTTATTTGGGGGGGGGGGGGGCAGAGCTTTGTGACGTCATATTTGAGGGGGGGGGGGTCTGACTTTTTGTGACGCCGTGTGACGAGGGGGGGGGGGGTCAAAAATGGTCAAAAATCGCGTGACGTCATTTATGGACGGCCCTTTGACGATAAATGCCACCGGGTTGCCGTCGACTAAACTCGGTCCCACATTCCCACTCCTCGTCCGTTTTCACCGGGCACGGGGGGGGAGGTGGTGGTGGTGGGTGGGGATGATGCGCCGTGCACCACACCACCCCCCTGCTGCTGCGTGGTGATTGACGTCAAGGAGCGAGTGGGTGTGTGTACACGTGTGTCGTGCTGTTATTTAGCACTCTCCTGCACCGAAGTAGCAGCAACAGCAGCGCCACGACTCGCTGGCTTGGCTCGAGGCGAGCGTTCAGCGATGATAATTGTCACTAATTCGCATACACGGCGAGAGTGGGGTAGGTGGGTGGTGGGGGTGACTGCTGCTGCTTGCTTGAGCTGAACTGGATAGAGGCAGACAGGGACACCCCCCAGAGGCTGTTTTATGACACAGGCAAACATTTGACGGCGCTGTTCGGCCAAAGCGGCGAGTTTGATGAAAGCAACAGTTTTCAAAGTTGTAACTGCTGCAACAGCGGTACCGCTTGCCTTGTTCGCGCGCAACTGGTGTGTACGGGGGTAGTACTGCTGTCGGAGGGGTTGTCTAAGAGTGTAAGAAGTCCAGCAGCTGTAGGGTTTAGCGAGCGACGTGGATCCGTTCCACGGCTGCGTTCGCAGACCGTGAATCCAACCGCCGCGTGCGTAAAAGGAAGTCATTGGAGCATTTACGCAGTGCACACAACAACAACAACAAACTACGACGACGACGACGACTACTATCGCCCATACGCTGCGGCGTTAAACCCAACTCGATCCTGATGGCAGACAGACCTTCAACTAAGCGGAGTCGACGAGCGAATGGGCACATGGACACAACGAATGTGGGACGTGATCGGATTCGGCCGCAGCACCACGATCATGATCATGAGCAGCAGCAACAACAACAGCCGCAGGACGTGGACCTCAACTCACTCTTCCAGGCTTGCGACACCAACCACTCGGGGGACATCGATTACGATGAATTCTCCGACATCTGCAAGGAGCTGCGGCTTCAGCCGGCTCAGACAGACGCGCTCTTCCGAGACCTGGACGCGGACAGCGACGGCGCCATCGACTTCCGCGAGTTTTCCCAGGGCTTCAGCTGCATCGCCGCGTCCCTGGGCCAGGTGAAGGGCCAGGTGAAGGGCCAGGGGAAGGGCCAGGTGAAGAGCCAGGTGAAGGGCGAGTCCGGGTCGCCCCGAGACACCTGCAAGAGGCTCGAGCGAGCGCCGTCTTGCCAGGAGGAGCCCGCGGCGTGGGACGACTTCGCGGACACGCTGACCGGGCTGCGCACGATGAGCGGGTCGGTGGCATTTTTTAAATCCTTTATATTAAGTTCACTTGCTTGCTTGCTTAGGATCGTGCAAATCTTTCGGTCGTTTTTTCACCCACTTCCCGTGATCCAATCGAGCTGACATTTTGCACACAGACTCGTTGTGCGTGACAATGCATTTTCGTGAAAAAAAGATTTCCAAAATTTTACACTGTTTAGGGAAAAAAAATTAAATATTTAATTACCAATTGTTTAATGCTGCCAGACAATCATCTGACCCATAGGTGGCAGCCATCTCAAGCCAGAGGACAAGAAGACTCTAGCCGCCCCGATGCCACGCATATAAAGTATTTATAGTGAAAAACTTTGTTTTTACGGGTTTACTTGTTTTTCTTGGCGTTTACAATTTCAATTCGCATCGTGGACCATGTGCGCGCTCCGGGTTGATGAGCACCAGAGGTCGCAAACGGATTTTGATTCCTTACCCGTACCCGGCCGCAAAAGGGTCGCAAATGCGTACCCGTACCCGGCCGGGTACGGGTAGCCGTTCCCTAGCAGTACACGTACCCTACCCGAAATGAGTGACAAACGGTGACTCACCAGTGACTCACGGCCTACCCGTACCCGGCCGCACCAGGGTCGCAAATGGGTACCGGGTACGGGTAGCCGTTCCCTACCAGTACACGTACCCTACCCGAAATGAGTGACAAACGGTGACTCACCAGTGACTCAGAGCCTACCCGTACCCGGCCGCACCAGGGTCGCAAACGGCTTCCCGTACCCAGCCGGGTACGGGTAGCCGGGTATCGGGTAGGGTATCGGGTACCCGGTTGCGACCTCTGATGAGCACAGAGCCAGCATAGCCAAGGGTCGTGGGTAACAACGCATCTAAGCACAACTTGGTGTTGTGCTCCACATATAAATAAAATGCAAATGTGTATTAATTTTGTTCATAGGCCAATTTTCTGTTTTTGGCCTGAAACATATTCCAAGAGTTTAATACTATTTGATTGAATGCCACACTGCTCGTTAAGTGATTTTTGTGATATGTAACTACGGTACTGTATATCGCTTTTGATGCTGCACTTACTGGAACTACAGGGTGCTTTAAAAAAATGTGTGAACACTTCCGAGAATTTGCAACAACACCACGAGAAATGTGACTCCGGGTTCTGGCGATTACCTGGAGAAGAATCCAGGCACGCGTTGACAATGATGGCGAACAAGTGGAGACTCTTTGACCTTTTGAAGCTGTTAACATACATTTGTTATCATGTTACATTGTATTATCCGTTCTTTATTCATGAAAAACGATAGTCCCATATAAGTGTTAAAATATTTTTTAAGCACGCTGTATATTGTCCGGAGGAAGCTCAAAATAGCCCATATAGAGTATATTTGGCCTACTCTTCTATGCTGATTAAGCATTTCGGAAGATGTGGCATTACCCACACTGTATCCCACCTCATGTCACCTCTCTATGGACGAACTGCGGCGTAGATACATATACAGTGAGGGAAAAAAGTATTTGATCCCCTGCTGATTTTGTACGTTTGCCCACTGACAAAGAAATGATCAGTCTATAATTTTAATGGTAGGTTTATTTGAAAAGTGAGAGACAGAATAACAACAACAAAATCCATAAAAACGCATGTCAAAAATGTTATAAATTGATTTGCATTTTAATGAGGGAAATAAGTATTTGACCCCTCTGCAAAACATGACTTAGTACTTGGTGGTAAAACCCTTGTTGGCAATCACAGAGGTCAGACGTTTCTTGTAGTTGGCCACCAGCTTTGCACACATCTCAGGAGGGATTTTGTCCCACTCCTCTTTGCAGATCTTCTCCAAGTCATTAAGGTTTCGAGGCTGACGTTTGGCAACTCAAACCTTCAGCTCCCTCCACAGATTTTCTATGGGATTAAGGTCTGGAGACTGGCTAGGCCACTCCAGGACCTTAATGTGTTTCTTCTTGAGCCACTCCTTTGTTGCCTTGGCCGTGTGTTTTGGGTCATTGTCATGCTGGAATACCCATCCACGACCCATTTTCAATGCCCTGGCTGAGGGAAGGAGGTTCTCACCCAAGATTTGACGGTGCATGGCCCCGTCCATCGTCTCTTTGATGCGGTGAAGTTGTCCTGTCCCCTTAGCAGAAAAACACCCCCAAAGCATAATGTTTCCACCTCCATGTTTGACGGTGGGGATGGTGTTCTTGGGGTCATAGGCAGCATTCCTCCTCCAAACACGGCGAGTTGAGTTGATGCCAAAGAGCTCCATTTTGGTCTCATCTGACCACAACACTTTCACCCAGTTGTCCTCTGAATCATTCAGATGTTCATTGGCAAACTTCAGACGGGCATGTATATGTGTTTTCTTGAGCAGGGGGACCTTGCGGGCGCTGCAGGATTTCAGTCCTTCACGGCGTAGTGTGTTACCAACTGTTTTCTTGGTGACTATGGTCCCAGCTGCCTTGAGATCATTGACAAGATCCTCCTGTGTAGTTCTGGGCTGATTCCTCACCGTTCTCATGATCATTGCAACTCCACGAGGTGAGATATTGCATGGAGCCCCAGGCTGAGGGAGATTGACAGTTCTTTTGTGTTTCTTCCATTTGCGAATAATCCCACCAACTGTTGTCAACTTCTCACCAAGCTGCTTGGCAATGGTCTTGTAGCCCATTCCAGCCTTGTGTAGGTCTACAATCTTGTCCCTGACATCCTTGGAGAGCTCTTTGGTCTTGGCCATGGTGAAGAGTTTGTAATCTGATTGATTTCTTCTGTGAACAGGTGTCTTTTATACAGGTAACAAGCTGAGATTAGGAGCACCCCCTTTAAGAGTGTGCTCCTAATCTCAGCTCTTTACCTGTATAAAAGACACCTGGGAGCCAGAAATCTTTCTGATTGAGAGGGGGTCAAATACTTATTTCCCTCATTAAAATGCAAATCAATTTATACAATTTTTGACATGCGTTTTTCTGGATTTTGTTGTTGTTATTCTGTCTCTCACTGTTCAAATAAACCTACCATTAAAATTATAGACTGATCATTTCCTTGTAAGTGGGCAAACGTACAAAATCAGCAGGGGATCAAATACTTTTTTCCCTCACTGTACTACTGGGTGAACAGAAGCGGGAGCACTAAAACTGACGTGTCCTTTGTTTTAAGGGCCACACGGGGAGATCAAACTGGCAAGCTCCGGATTGCAAAATGAAGTGTGCAAACCATGTCACCACGGCAGCATCGCTTGTGGATGATAGACCGCTGTAGTTTGTTGTTGCACGGTTGGCTACGTACGGTGCGAAAGAAGTCCAACATATATATTAACGCTGCAATCATTCGTATATTCTCGATGCCACTCTGGGCAATGGCATGTTATTTGCCTGGTGTTGTAGTGTTTGATAGTACTCGTGTGCCCTTCTTTATGATGGTTATGTATGCCACCACGCAAGATAGGGTACCTAATGCACAAGTGGAGAAAATACATGAAAGAGATTCTCTCCTGCGTGTGACTGTGGCCAAGAACGCCAGACCATGGACGATGCCCCAAAAATGAACTTGAAGGCGTCAGTTTGAGCTGTAATTTAGCCATTGAATGGTTAAATCACTTGCAACTGAGTCTTATTTGGCCAAATCTCCCGTGCAATTTCGAGCTGCCTATCGGGACACGTCTGAGCGGTTTTGACGATTGCTTTGCTTTTGGGTCAGAAAACCCGACTCCCATAATGACAATGTCAGATTCGGAATTGTTAAATAACGGGTTTTTTTTACTCACCTAATTAAGTAAAATATGTTAAATGTTTAGTCTGTATGGGTTACTGTGAAAATGTACAAAATGCGGAATTAGGAATTTCAAACACGTAATTGTATATTCATACTCATTTACATACAATTAATATAAAAATATGGGCACAATCTGACTAAAATATGAATCTGGAAACCACGCAACAGGGATCTGTCAGTACACAGACATAGTAAAGCAAACATCACACCACACTTGGTAATTTTCCCACGATCAACAAAACAAATAAAAGATCCTTAAAAATAGATATATGGGCAGCACTTGGACAGATGGCAGCACTCTCTGTGAGTTAATATAACACTTGGAACATATTTAACATTTCAATTTACTGCTGGAATTTATTTATTAATTGGATAGATGCAGCATGGATTACAAACGTTTGCTTGTTGAACTTGGGGATTTGAAGGCAATATTCCAGATTGTCTTTTCAGAAGAGAGAAAAAAAACCCCCAGACTTTACAGATGATTGATCAAGATAGTCGCCACTTTTCATAATTTAAATGTTTTTACTCCATTTGAAGTTGCTGCAGTTGATCATCATGATTATAGAATTCTCATTATGCTCGTGAAATGGATAAAACAGTACATCTGAAACAGCTGCAAGAAAAGACCTCTGCAAAATGCCCAATGCATGAGCTTGCACGGATAGAGAATAAAATAATAATGATGCTCATTAACCCATTGTATATCCACTTCTGGATGAGGGCTTGCTCACCTCGTTCCCATCCATCTCACTCCTCATGCTCAAGGAACTGATATCATCATTCCATCTCCACGCAGCGGTCGTCCTACTGCACGTCTTAACTCTTTTGGCAGTCTTCGTGGTTCTTTCGGTAAAGTCACGTAGAAGAGACATTTTTAAAAAATGTACTTTCTATTATTATTTTATTATTTCCCTTCTACGTGACTTTACCGAAAGATCCAAGAATATGAATCCCTGTATTCACGAAAGCTTTAAATCGAAATCTTTTGGCAGTCTCTCCGTCAGCAGCCGAGTCAGATCGGGGGGGGGGGGGGGGGGGGGCTTCATCCCATCTCGTGATGTGTCCTGCCCCAGCCTATTTACTTTTCTTAATTGTAGTTCTGATGTCTCTGATTTGTGCCCCCCCCCCCCCCCCCACTGATCCATGAACAGCTTCACAGCATGGAGGAGAGGCAGAGGTGGCTATGCCCCCTGCTGAAGGATCAGCCCTCCTACTAAATTCTTAGAGTCAAGAAATGAGATTAAAATTAATAAAAATAAAACAATATTAATTTTAATTTCATTTTTTACCTACGTGACTTTACCGAAATAACTAAGAGTATGAATCCTTGCAGTCACGAAAGCTTCAAATCTAGAATCAAGAAATGAGCACAATTGCAGTAGGCGATGTGCGTGGCAGCCATTCCCTCTCTAGACACAGGGGAATGCGAGCCGGTAGCGGAATGTGCGTTGATATGTGAGCGCAGAGGTCGTGTCGTTACTCATCCTGCACAGCGTTTGTTTAACGATGGCTGTGCCCCCCCTCCTCCCCACACTGAGCTTTGGCATGACCCCCAATTGAAATAAGGTCACAATACACGTATGGATCCACAGTTCCCTTCATCTGTCGCTTAGTGTAACACTGCCAGGGTTCAAACTAGCGGTGTACATGAACAATTCCAAAGTGCATGCCTCGCCCTCGCAATGTGTGCACTGCATGTTTGTTGGACTTCTTTCGCGCCGTACGTAGCCGACGAAGATAGGTGTGGGAATCGCAGCATGTGCTCATGGACGTCGCGTGGTTTTACGATGGTTTAAATACATGCGCAGGGCGCGTCCGTGTTTTTTTATGGCTTGGTGAAACGCGTGCATGCTTCTAGAAAAGAAAGGGGCGAGGTGGGCATTTCCCATGAGCTTGGAGGCTAACAGCGCTGGTCGCTAGGCTCGACCCAATGTTACATTGCTAGGAGGGGTTACAAGCGAGAGAAATTACCAGGCAAAGTCCAAAAGGCGGTGGCTGTAGCGTGGTGGGGGTGTAGGGGGTGGGGGTGTAAGGGGGTGGGAAGGTGGTGGCTGTAGCGTGGTGGGGGTGTAAGGGGTGGGGGTGTAGGGGGTGGGGGTGTAGAGGATGGGGTGTAGGGGGTGGGAAGGTGGTGGCTGTAGCGTGGTGGGGGTGTAAGAGGTGGGGGTGTAGGGGGTGGGGGTGTAGGGGGTGGGAAGGTGGTGGCTGTAGCGTGGTGGGGGTGTAGGGGGTGGGGGTGTAGAGGGTGGGGGTGTAGAGGGTGGGAAGAAGGTGGCTGTAGCGTGGTGGGGGTGTAGGGGGTGGGGGTGTAGCGTGGTGGGGGTGTAGTGTAGTGGCGGTGTAAAGTCAGGGACAGCCTCACATATCGGCAAAATGTCCTCAGAATACCTTGAATGATGTCCATTGGAATGGAATATTATAATATAATGTCAACGTCGGTGTAATCTCTACAGCAGTATATATACATTAGGGGCAGCCAAATGTGTTGAGACATTTCCATTTTTAAGCGTAAGGCGGCCTCATCTTTACATGCTCACTCTCCCGTTCGCTCATTCTATGGAGGTCGTTTTCAACCTTCAGCGATTTTTCAGATAGGTTTTTTTTCTTCATCCAGTTCTCACGATCGTAGCATCCCTCCTCCGTATCTCCATTCCTCCGTCCATCCAGTTTTTTTTCCCAATAATCTTCTTCACTCCATCATCCAGCCATCTCGTCTCAGTGCGACCTCGAGTTCGTTTCCATTTCAATCGTTCCTTCATGACCACTTACTCCAGATTGTCACCGTCTCTTCTTGTTACATGTCCAAACTGCAGAGTCGTACGCGTGCACCCTCTTGTCAATTCCCGACACCAGCTCGGTGAAGGTTCGGAGCATAGAAGTACAGCAGCACATCAGTGAACTTTGCCGCACTGTGACCTGCTACTCACACATTCGTACAAGAGTGTAACGAACGTGTGTGTGTCCAACACGGTACAATCCGTGCTCCTATAACGCAGTAGTTGTGTTCCTGAAGATCACCGCTTTGTGGAAAAATCGTGTTAAAATGAATAATATAGGGCAAAACACGTGAGATGCGTACGCAGGCTGGACAAAGACTGAGGCGCGTGGGGAGCATCTGGAAGTATCCAGCAGCATCCCGCCTCGCGCGACGCTTCGCCGTGGCAGCCGTACAACCAACCGCTTATTCCTACTCGAGCGGCATAGTTCTGTTCGCTCAATCGCGTGATGTCCAATTCGCATCCGCGTCGTGAAAAAATGTGTTCCCTAACTACAAAAATCGCCATTGCAACTTCATTTGCCAGTAAAAATGGTGAGGTTCCAATGGTGTAAATGCTTACCCCGAGCTCTCATACTCTGATGGTGCATTGTCTTTGAGTTGTTCGCCTTTTGGCGTCATCTGGTCCAACACCATGTGAGACTAGGCTCTAAAGAAAGCTGTCTCGGGTGTGGACCAATCAACTTCAAGGACAGTGCATACATTATCAGAGTTATGTTTTTTGTTTGCATTATGACTGCAGGTATTGTGGTCTATGCAAACATGACTCCTCGTAAAAAAGGTGTCAGTTTTGTTGCCAGATAAAAGGGTAAAAAAAACAATTATCATACATGAATCGCGTTATATCCAATTCACGTTGTGAAAATACGCGTTGTAGGAGAAACATACTGTGTACTTTAATTCCTAGTGATACCAATTTACTGCCCCCTTGCTATTTACAAGTGCAAGAGCGCAGCAGTAGGAAAGAACGCTCCAAACAATGACGCTCTCACTGGGTGTGGGTGAGATAGGATGGTGTGACCAGTGCTCTGTTGACTCACGGACACCGTAAATGATAACATCGTGGTGTGAAGTTGGAGGGAGTCATGCAGGAGCTGATGATGTTGTGAGCCGCTGCTGTAATTCGGGTGACAGTGAAGGAATGCTCGCAGACCGAAAGTGCCTTGAGATGTGTTGCGCTGAATGTGCACAGATGTATAACCGGAGGAGGCAGGCACACAAATTGCTTGGTTAAGGGAAATGCATTTTCTGGAATTGGGTCATTGTTACCTCTTTACGGAATGAGAAATTCTGCTGCCCTCTACTGATAATATTTAGCAATTTAAGGACACAACTTGAAGGTCACTCCAAACCAGTCCTTGCGTCCCCCCCCCCACCCCCTGTACGGGCACAGCTTTCTGCGATTTCCAACCATCAGGTGCGTGTAGTGTGCATTGGCTTAATTTGACCACAAAAGAGATTTGTAACCGCAGAAATGTAGACCATGGTAGTACTGGAGTGGATGAGGGGCCGTCCATAAATGACGTCACGCACCTGGGGCGGTGGGGGGTCAGACATTTGTGACGATGTGTGACGAGGGGGGGGGGGTTTAAAAATGTGACGTCACGTAAAAATGCGCAACTTTAAATAAATACAGTCAACACACTCTACTTAATTAAATAGACTTTTAAATAAATGTTTCCTCCTACAACATCAGAGTGCAGCGCCTCATTAAATACGCACTACAATGACAATAGTTTAAAGCGATTTGAAGCATGTGTTTTTTTTTGGGGGGGGGGGGGCAGAGCTTTGTGACGTCATACTTGAGGGGGGGGGGTCTGACTTTTTGTGACGCCGTGTGACGAGGGGGGGGGGGGGGGGTCAAAAATCGTCCAAAATCACGTGACGTCATTTACGAACGGCCCCTAATAACCTGCTTTGTTCCTCTTGCGTTTGTTTAAAAAAAAAACACAAAAAATTTGTTGCAGCCAGGACAACATTGCGGAGCTCTACCAGCAGATCGTGGCCACCTCGGACGCCCACCTGCTGCAGAGCTACGAGCGCGTCGTGCGCGACCTGCTCGGAGCCGTCGAGAGGCAGGGCGCCGAGACGGAGCGCGTCGCGGCAATACTCAAGCGGTACGACACCGGCGCGCGTCGTTTTGCCGCTTGCCTGGGTCTAACGTCAACGCCTGCGCGCTCGAGCCAGGCAGGGCAGGCGCGCGTGATTTAGACGAAAGCTGAGCAAAAAGGCTTGGGGACAACCAGAATTGTGGACATAGGTGGGCATGCACCAGATGTCATCTTGAATTTGGATCGTAATAAACATAAAGAGACGATTAATATGAACAAATTAATTCATCTCCTTGGATATCTATCTTGTCTGCAGCTTCGTTCTTTCATTTCGCTCTATGTTTCTTTTATCTACACTCTTTCCTGCCACTGCAATTTATATCTCATCTGTAGCTCTCGTCTGTCATCTGATTGCCCCGTAGGTGTCCGCTGCACATTTCGTCATTTGTCTTGTGCCAATATGCTCAAGTAGCGCATTTATATATCTGGCACCAATCTCCTTTATCCTGAAGCCATTCTCTGTTAGGTATTCCCCTCTTTCCGGTTCCTTCCATTTTTTACCCGAACAACACACTTTACATTTTACTGTTTATGTCCATCCTACGTACGTGTCCAAATAGTTTCCTTCTCATCGCTGCCTGCATCAGGACTTCTTCTCATGTGCATTACACCTCGATATTTTGTCCACATGTCTCTCATCTCTCTAGCAGTTCTTTCTATTGTCTAGTTCTCATCTGTAATATCACTGAGGATTTTATAAATGTAAAGATGAGGGGGGGGGCCCAAAGTAATTCTGCTTCTTGTCCCCAAAGGGCAGGCAACGCCACAGTGGCTGGATCGCGTAGATTGATGAAACTCCCGAACTCCGCTGGGCTGCAAGGTGGCCAGGGAAAGTCGGTGCGGAGAGCGGATTCATGAACCCATCTGTGCAGACTTTTGAGTGTAATTCCCTACGGTTTACGCGGGTCTGCTCGCGAGAGCCTGTTTTTACGGCCGCTTGAAACGCCCCTTAAAAAGCAACGTGGCCAACCGGTCCGAGTGCAGCATCCTCTAGAAAAAAAGAACTGTGAGACACAATTACAGTATTAAAGTGTTGTCAAATAAAAGCGTCAAAAGACGTTGGCTTAAGAAATGTACCTCTAAAACATAATGTGTTTTTAAGTTGTGTTTCTCTCCAGGCAAGTCGGTAAAATGATGAATATGACGTGAATAAATGAACGAGTAATAACAGCTTGTGCTGCTCCGGCAGTGAGCGATGGGAGTAGCGGAAGGAAAAGCCGTCACTTTAATGACTGCCTGGGCCTTCAGTGAATATCCAATCATTCACCGATGACTCGTCACAAGACTTGGAACAATGGCGCAGCTCTGTTTTTTCAACATTTAAACAACGTGTTCCTACTCGGCCAGGTCCCTGTGATCATTTTGATACATCGCTTAGACAATCTGAATGCAAATGCTTTTGATCATTGTCTTCCACCTCACGTAACTTGTATCTTGATTCTCTTAATTAATTACAGCCAGTCTCAGTCCACCAATGGATCAAGACTTCCCCATATCATTGTTGGTTATGGGGTTTTTTCTGTCATACTTCACCATGCTGCTCAGTTAGTTGCAGGTTGGTGAAGGGAAGGGAGGACATGTCCAGTTCACATGTCACTTGCCACTGATGTTAGCCTTTGCCAGGAATCAAACGCAGGTCGCCAGGTTCATAGCGCAGCGCGCTAACACTGCTTCCCGGTATCTTTTCTATCTTTTTTTATCTTATATATTTTTCTAATGATACTATAAAACGTTCAACTGATGTACAGTTTAAGGGTTTATATTTCACATTGAAACATATATAAATGATTTCCACTGTTTTATTTCCCTGTATCTGCTTTTGTATTTTCTTTTGTATCCCAGTTCTCCTTTGAGACTCATGGTCTTATTGAGCTATTGCTTGGTTTTGAAAAAATATTGTGTGTGTGTATATATCCTGTATGTCTTTACGTATGTGTGTGTGCATGTATGGGTGTATGCATGTATGAGGGGAGTGGTAGTGCAGCGTACTGCGCTACGAACCTGGCGACCCGAGTTCGATTCCCACTCACGGCCAACACCGGTGACGATTATCTGAACCGGTCCTGGGCCTCCCTCGAGGTTGACTCGGCCTCAAATGAATACCTGGAGTGGTGTGTAAACATCACCACTGGGGAGACAAAGGTGGCTGGGTGTGGTGTCAGATACCCACCTGGTGTGTCATGCCAGCCTTCATAGATGCTCGCCGACAGAACTTGCCCCAACAGTCGGTTAAAGGCTACACGGGGGATCTTTGTCTTTTGTGTGTATGGGACGGTGCAGCTCTCAGGAGCAGACGGCGGAACGGCTGGGGGAGATGGACGATGAGATGGAGCAGCGACTTGAGGCGCACGGACAGAAGATCCGCAAAGAGGTTAGACTGTGGTGCTTTCAGTGCGCAGCCTTGCCGTGCCAGCCTCGTGCCACCGGGCTGCTAAGTTCGACAGCTTCGAGAGGCGACCGAGTGGGCCGGGTGGCTCAGAGGTCAAAGGGCTGAGCTAGTATCACTAAGATATCCTGGGTTTGAATGCAAATTCTAGATTTGAAGCTTTCGGTAAAGTCACGTAGGTAAAAATAAATAAATATTAAAAGTTGCTAATAAATAAATACAAAAGAAAAAAATTCTTCTATTTCTATTCTTATTTATTTTATTATTTTATTCCTATCATTATTTCTATTATTTATTTTTTATTTCTTATTTTATTATTATTATTTACTTACTTTCACCTATGTGACTTTACCAAAAAAACCTAAGAGTTTGAATACAAATTTCTGCCTACCAACCAACGGTCAAATCACATTCTCCAGTGTGGTGAGTTGATGGAAACAACCTGGTCACTCCATCGGCTTGCTTGCACAAAAAAAGCACACGGACTTCGTTGAGAGACCCACAGACTCCTGAGCTGGCATCACTGACATCCTGGGTTTGAATCTGGTTTCAGCCACCCGTGATTATAACATTTGTTCTCAAGCACAGCGAGTTGAGTGCCCCAGCCTGATCACTAAATGAATGCACAATGAACAACAACAGCAACAAAAAACCCAATCATATTAAATATAGTTTTGCTCTTAATTTTGATAATATCTGGCTTTGAAAATGTAACATCTTGCTTCGATTGCCATGCGATGAGCATTTCACTCTCCCTAGCAGCTGTGTGGGAAATTGATGACCCCCTAGCATAGATAAGAGGTGAATTGAAAACATTTCAGAAGTAGTTTTGTGATCTTTGCTTCCACAGGCCATTCTCTAACATGGAGTCATTGAGCCTCCCAGCTCGTAAAATGACGGCACCAACCTGCGATCTGCAGATGGTGGCTTCACTTTCCAGTGCCCCGAGTTTATGTGCACATATTTACATTTTTGAAGGGGTTGTCCATTGCTAAAGGGTAACCGTTCACGTGCGAATTTAAGATTAACATCGTTCATCTAAGAACAATTTTTAAATTACACTTAGTTCAGGGGGGCCCCACGGTGTTTATCCTGCAGTCTCCTCCAACTATTACTCGCTCATCTCTCTGGCGTCTCTCTCTCTCTCTCTGCTACAAAGAAGGGCCAACGGCCCAAAACGTCGCCCGTCAGCGTCGTTGTTCCGTTCTGAGGGTGGTGTTGTTGACGAGCGTGTCGGGGGTGTTTGTTGTCTGCGTCGGCCAGGAGCGCGCACGCGCCGAGCACGTGATCGGCGACCTGAAACGGCACTACGAGGGGGAAGCCACTGACTTGAAGCTGGCAATCAAAAAGCTGAAACAGGTGCACAGATTGATAAACCCGCGAGCTAAGGCGATGTGTTTCCCCAACCCTTTAAAATAGAAGAGGCCATTAACAAGTCCCCACCGCGTGTGTCTGTTTGTCTGATGTTTCTCACGAGTGGCGTTCTGGCCTTAATAGATGCTCACTAACAGCACTTGCTCCAAAAGTCTGTTACGGATATACAGGGGATCTTTGCCTTTGATGTTTCTTTACAGCAGCACTTTAAAGCCGGATGCTGTTACCTGTCTGCAAGTTATTTGGGAGAGGAACACTCTTAAATAATGTACGATTGATTTACAGCATCGAACTGTATACGTTAAATATGTGTAGAATATATCAATGTAATGGCAGGAGAGTGGTGGTGTAGTGGTTAGTCAACCGCGTCGCAAACCTGATGAGAGCGGTTCAAGTTGTGACCGCGGCCGACGTCAGCGCGAGCGATGGCTTTACTATCTTTCGCAACTTTTGGTCAGTATCAAAATAATGAAAAATATACGAATTTGCTCTTACCCTTTCTGGCAATAAAAACAGGTGTTAAGATGTCTGTTATCAGACCCTATTTGTGTGTATGCTTTGCCACAAGTACGTGTGGTTAATGCCTTACAATAGGTAGCTATTTGGTTTCGAAGCTTTCGTGACTGCAGGAATTACTTTTTGGTTCTTTCGGTAAAGTCACGTAGAAATAAATAAAATAATAATAGAATACGACTTTTCGGTTGCAACACAAGCAACCATCATCGGGTAAGAATTAATGATGAAACGCAGACACGGAAACAACATAGGCAGACACACATGCAGATAGAAGATTTGTCTTGGTGTGTGTCTCGCCCGGTGTGTTTTTGTGTGTGCCTCTCTCTGCATGTGTCTGCCTATGTTGTTTCCGTGTCTGTGTTTCATCATTCATTCTTACCCGATGATGGTTGCTTGTGTTGCGATCGAAACGTCGTATTCTATTATGATTTGATTTTATTTTCCACGTGACTTTACCGAAAGAACCAAAGAGCCATTTGGTGTTTAAACATTTTTCGCACCTGTTTTATTGCCAGGAAGGGTAAAGCCTATTCTCATATTTTTCATCATTTTGACACTGCCAAAAATGTCCCATGGATATAACTGTTCAACCCGAGCTATACGTTGCTCTGATACTTGCCATTGTCTCGGTGCTATTCGCCTTTTGGCGTTCTCTGGATTAACACCGGTGAGACAAGGCCCATAAAGAAGACTATCTCTGGTGTAGGCAGTTTCAAAGACAATGCCATCTATTATCACAGCATGTTTGTTTGCCACAAGTTCGTGTGGTTAATGCGAACTTGATGCCTTGCCAAAGGTTTCTTTTTTCTTGGTGTATGAACATCTTAACACATCTTAACACACCTCCTGTTTTATTGCCAGAAAGTGTAAATCCTATTCTGACATCTTTACTGATCCTGGCCCCCCAACTTTACCAACTGGCACTGGCAAGGGTGGTGAAGTATGGTCAAAAACCTCCATGGCTGACACAGCATGGGGAGGCTTCCCCTCCATTCAGTGATGGTTTTGCAGGAGGCTATTTTAAAATTTATTGTAAACATACTTCTGTATGTTCACACAACTGAGGTCTCCAAAAACACAAAGGCCATCATGATGTATGTATGTGTATATAGAAACATGTTAATACATTCATAATAGAGGCTGTTTTTTAGTTAGATAGCGTAAATATGAATGCCATTAAACCCACCACCACCAGACACAGCCAATTAGTAAAGTTTGTCACGTAAACAAAACATGCCAATTCGTTACTAGTTCAACATACTTGTGTGTTGCAGAGTAAACCCACAACATTTACAATTCGAGGACTCAAAAACATGCCAACAAATTGCCATATTTTGCCAATTGGCTGAGTCGGTTGGTGGCGGGGTTTAACGACACATTTATATTTACGCGATCTAACCCCAAAAAAACCCTCTTGTGGATAATATTGGGCACGAAAGCCTACTACGTGTTGAAAATGTTAATACGCACGTATTTCCTGTGCTATGTTGCAGTTAGAAAACATCGCCAGGAGTACCGATTCAGCAGAGGACGTGATGGAACTGAAGAGGCGAATGGGCGAGGTCACTCTGGTGAGTCGCCCTTGGCCTTCTTCCGCGTGTGTGATTCACACACACTGAACGTTAACCGTGGAAAGTAAAGACCTGTGGGTCAGCTTCGAGGGTCAGAGCGCTGGGGCCAGCATCGTCGAGAAACCTCAAGTTCAGGCAGTGGCCTGTGATGAGACCGGGTCCTCAAAGTGCAGTGATATTGGTGGTCTCAACCCCACTCGCCAATGACTGCCTAATAAAGCCCCGATTGTAACATTGGTTATTTACCTAATTTGGCTGAATTACAGCGCTGAGAATTAAAATATATATTTTTTTTAACTCAGCACATCTGTCATCACGCAGCTTCTCCAAATAGTTGATTAAAATATCGCTTTGACTGTCATGATAGAGCGGACAGTATATTTTATTCACACATCTGTCTCACCACGTAAAAATAAAAAAATATATTTAACTAAAAAAAATCTTATACAACCCATCTGCCCAACGGCCTTCCCTGAGTGCATTTCTTCTCGGCGTTACGTCTTCAAGTAGATTTGTGCGGAAAAGTTCGACCCGAATGCGTGAAGCTAAAAAAAAAGACAACCTGAAGGAATTCTCCTTCTGACCGAGGATCAAGCGCCGCTGAGAGATCCCTGAATGGATTTCTTCTCCCATGACATGGCGCTGAGAGCATGCCGGGGGGTAGCGTTGAGGGGAAGAGCAAATAATTTGAGGTGTGAAATCTAAACAAACCGTTTTGATAATGAAAACGTAAGCAACAAAAAATCACTCGTACAAGCATTTTCTTTTTAACACTTCTGAGAATTTGCAACAACATCACGAGAAATATGTCTCCCGGCTCTGGAGACCACCTGGAGAAGATTCCAGGCAATGTGTTGACAATGATGGCGAACAAGTGCAGACTGTTTGGCTTTTTGAAGCGAGTAACATACATTTGTTATCAAGTTACAGTGTATTATCTGTTCTTTTCCAATTAAAAACGATGGTGCCATACAAGTGTTAACATTTTTGTAAGCACCCTGTATATAACGTATATTAACATATTAACACGTGTCGAGGTGTTTTACATAAATAGCATTGGTTTGCATGTCGGCTAATAGGTGGTTTGTTTTCCTGCAACAAAAATTTGCTTCAAATATTTCCACCCGGTGGTATAAACAGGCGCACCACAGTTAGTCGAACGACAAGTTGTGTGTTTTGGTGGGGTAAAGTGTGGGGGGCTCCCACCGTCTGGCCAGCATGGAGGAGTAGGCCAGATGCCCTCTAGAGAATGTGGTCTGGAGTTGCTTCTCGTGGAGGCCTGCCTTCCTGCCAAAAGTGACAAGAACAAGAAGGTGCAAGGCTGCGCCTTTTATATAATCAGATAACATAACGTAAACATTGTCTTTTTGTAGCAGTGATGGTATTGTATACGATGTCATTCCCTCCTTAGGAAAATCAAAAGTTAAAGAAGAATCTTCTGGAGGCCCAGACCAACGTGTTGGTCATCCAGAGCGAGCTGGACTCCCTCAAGATGGAGATGACGAACCGGACGCTCACATTCGAACAGTAAATGGCATCAGAGCACCCTATGATCGTCATGGGCGGCACGGCGGCAACACTTGTGCCTCCAAGCAAAAAGCCCCTGAGTTTGATTCCTGGCTCGGGTGCCTTTTTTGTTGATTAGCTGTTCTTAATAATCCGAGCTGTTATCTGCCTCGCCTCCTAAGCAAGAGAGGGGCGTGGGTTCGATCCCGACCCCGACGCCTGTATATTTGGAGTTTGCATGTGTCTCTCCCAGTGGTCGTGTGGATTTTTCTCCAGGTTTCCCCTCCACATTTAGAAACATGCGATTTGAGTATTTGGCTGCTTTATATTCCTACACGATTAAGCCACTTCATTGAACTATCATGTGTGGCCAGGTGGCTTCTGACAAACAGCTATATAACTCAGCGGCCCTTACCTGGTAAATAAAAAAAAAATTTGTTTTATAGTCTTTATCATCATCATCATCGCAGGATTGGTCTCATCGCTCTATCTCTACAGTGGTCATCCTCTGGGTTGTGTTTGCCCCTCTGGGTGCCATTCCTCGACCAGTGTCGTTTGTTGGTTATCATTTATCCTCGTGATGTTACCGGCTCGTGCTCGTACATATATATGTGTACGTTTTTGTATCGCTAAACGTATTGAAATAAATACATCTTGATTCCGAACCCACATCCAAAACCATAAATGTGCATACTTTTCACATTTCAATGTCAACTATGTTGTTAACCATAACATGACAAAAATATTATGTATTCGAATGCAAATATTAACTGAATTCGGTTCTGTTTCTGCACGTGTATGAAAAAAAAATTAGACTGTCATCCGATTGGCTTTCCAGATCAACTTTATCCAGCAGCAATTCTTTAAGCAAGAAAACTCTGGAAAAGGTTTGACGTTCAGGGTCTCATGAGCAGAGTCAGACCAGTTTTAACCAATGCTGCGAGCTTACAAGATGTTATTGCCAAGAGTGCTCTATATTAAATAATGGATTATGAGTGGGGATAAAGATTAGATGGCAATTGATCTGTCGTTAGGTTTTGCTGCTATCTGAAGTCTTGCATCATAATATGGATCTGGCAGGAGCCACGCTATGTAAGTGGTATTATGCGCCTTCTTTCCCTGAGTGTGTATCAGTACGCAAGGCAACAAATCCCACATTCACCACTGGTACACGCTCATTACCAACCGAGCCGAGCGCTTTAGGGCTCGCGCTTTCATTTGTCCTTGCGGCGCACGAAGCTTCACGCTGCCCTTTTACAGGTCACAGACTGGGTCGTGGAAACAGAGAGAGAGAGAGAGTTAAGAGCCCACCCTCCGACATTATCCTGCTGTGTGGGATTTTTTGAGTTAATTGCTTCTGCTGGAGTACACGTGCTAACTTTATCCCCCTTTTCACGGCTCGTCATAGCAGGGGCACGGTTCTGACGGGGCCATCTGTGGCACACGCAGAGGTGTATGGCCTCCAGAGAGCTTCACTCTCTTCTCTTTCGTATCGTTTTTAATAGCAAATATTCTTTTTTATCTGTCATTTCCAGGGAGCAGATGACAATTAAAGAGCTGGCGGAGGAGAGGATTGGGCTTCTTCGACAAATCGAAGTCCTCCAGTGAGAAACCGCCCATTACCGCGTGCGCTCGTGCCTCGCGTAATGTCGATGCTGGAAATGGCATTTGTGGAGTGGTGTGATCAACCCTGAACACATTTTCCCTCTCCCAGGGCAACGAACCGGAAAATTCAAGACAGCAACGATGGCATGAGGTCCGTGGTGGAAAGCAGCTTTTCCTCCCAAAGAAGATCGGCTTCCAATGTAAGATTTTCGATGTTGAATAAAAAAAAAAAATCTTTATCCAGTTTATAATATACCAATTCGCAATATAAATTAGTCCAACGGTTAAAACAAACGCCTCGCACAATGCCTGAGCTACGCTAGTTTCGCTTGAAACAATTGATCACTCTTTCGACTTAAAATTACATACAAATATAATAACTTGTGATAAAAAAATTGCACTGCTAGAAAATTTTGAATCCAGTTGGCTTAGTGAGGCAAAGTGAGGGGCTCGCAATGAGAATGTTGAGTTCAAATCCTAGACGAGGGTTGCCCCAGCCCATCATCCCTCTGGGATTGATATAATGACGATACAATTGACTTCACCACTTTGTAGGGAAGTCAACACTAGTTTTCCTTTGGGGTGCCATTGTGGTGAGATGTTAACTTCCTTGCCTGTTAAGGAGTGATGACTGCGTTTAGTGTACTTGGCTGCTATAAATTTCCACATGATAAGCCACTTCGTTGGACTATCATCTGTGGCCATGTCACTTATAAAAAATAAAAAGTAAATTACTTTCGCGTTTTAGTTTAGGCTCTCCGCCACCACAGGGACGTGTAATTTCCACCACTGGCTTCAGGGCTGTAAACAACAGATGAGCTCTCCCTCAATGCTCACTTGAGCAGGACATCACTATGGTTATGTGTGTGTGTTTGTGTGTGATGGGAAGCGGTAGTGTCGCGGTTAGCACGCTGTGCCACGAACCCGGCAGTCCGAGTTTGATTCCAACTCACGGCCAACACCAGTGACGATTATCTGAACCAGTCCTGGGCCTCCCCTAGGTCGACTCAGCCTCAAATCAGTACCTGTTAAATTGTATAAAGACATCACCACTGGGGAGACAAAGGCGGTCGGGCGTGGTGTTGGCCACCCTCCCCCTCGCGTGCCGTGCCGGCCCTTCATAGGTGCTCGCTAACGGCACTTGCCCCCCACAGTCTGTTAAGGCTACACGTGTGGGGGGGACCTTTATCTTTGCTTTTGTGTGCGTCTCGCCGTTCGACTCTCGCGGCAGCACGCGACGCCCCCACCGCATGCGACGGCCTTCCAGAGCACGCCGCTCTCGCACGGCCAGCACAGCCCCCGGCGATCCCCGCAGCCGTACGACGGCAGGTGAGGACATTCGCTCGAGCGGGGCGTTCGCGGCGACGGCCGCGTTCGCTCGGTGGTGTGTGTGCAATTCAGAATGGGAATCTTGATTTTCTACTGCAGGGGGAATCCGATGAGCTGCGAAGCTCTTTTTTATCACAGGTGTTCTAGTAAGGGGCGGGTGAAACCCAGAACGTTACGACAACAAACAATAAAAACACTCGATCAGGAGTGCAAAGTATAGGAAAGGTAAACAAATAGCTTGAAAATGTATATACAAATGAAATTTAACAATTGCTTTTATATTACCAGGTAAAGCCAGCCCACTGAACTATTAGCTTCTTTTTCAGAAGCGACCTGGCCACAAATGGTAGCTCAACGCAAGTGGCTTATCGCGTGGCAATTTATAGTAGCGGTGGCCGCAATTAACCCAAAGGCCCGAATTTATGTGCCTGTTGCACCCGGGTCTGCGATGTCAGAGCCGGTTTTGGGCACCCCCCCCCCCCTTCCGCCCTCCTTTACCAGGCTTCCACACTGGTGAGCGTGGTGAAAGACGGTACACCAAAGCCTTGTGCCTCACTTCGGCGTGTGGGTTCATCCAGCACTAGATTGACAAAGGGGGCTGCCTATTATAATTTGTGTGATATTAATGACTAGAAGTAAATGAATAAATTGCTTTCTCGGCCTCGGCACAGGCGTGCGATAAGAGTTTGGATTTAGAGTACAAAGCGTACAAAGGCAACTGCGTCGCGAGACCCTGTACAAAAAAGTGCGGCTGTGCTTGACCGACTAGATTCAACCCCTGACGCCCGTCGTCCATCACGCCCGTATTGGAACGACGAAGCCAAATCCACCGAGCGGCGACTTTGACCCGGACCCCCATGGGTTGTCGTCACGCGGACTACACTAAAAACAAAAAAAAAATGACCGGCGCGCTGACCCCGACGAACGCTCCCGAAAACCCCCCAAGGTCCCCGTGCCTCGCCTCGCCGCTGGAGCGCGAGGCGGACTCGCTGGCAGCTGTGCGACCCCATGTTGCGCCCGCGGCGGGCGAGCGTGTGCGGCGAGACGGAGAGCCTGGGCGCCGTCAGCTGGTCGGACAGCGGCCTCTCCACGCAGCAGGAAGACGCGCGCGACGACGCCGACAGCGACGCCGGCACGGACGTGGAGGAGGGCGGCACGCGGGCCCATGAGGCCGCCGCCGGGAGGAGGCGCGTTGCCGCCGACGCCGGCGGCGGCAGCTTCGTCGACGCCGGGCACTCATCCGACGCCGATGTGAGTGCCGCTCGTCTGCATGGCATATTGTGAGGGTAGCACAGGTTGGTGCCTGGTACGCGCTACTTGGAAAGAGCACCTACAGGCTAGTACATTTCTCCACAAATTTGGCTGTCGCCTGATGAAGCTAGTTGTAATCACTGGCGAAACGTTGTACTCGGATTGTAAATGTTGTAGCTTGGCTCTCCAACACACCGGTGGTGCTGTACTAGTGACGAATTGGCCACGTTCTGTTTACGTGACAACCCTTACTAGTTGGCTGTGTCGGGTGGTGGCGCGTTTTAACGACACATTCATATATTTACGCGATCTAACCCAAAAACCTCTATTATGGAGGCTAGTACATGTGGGGACTCTGCAAGAGAGAAAGTGCCACGGACCTGGCAGACTTTAATAAGTGGCTGCCATTATGCCCCGCGGCCGCAGCGTAGCGAGCGAGCGAGAGTGCGGGTGGGGAAACTGCCCACGAGGCCCACGGCCGGAGAGCCCCACGGGTCGGAGGAGCCCAGGAGCCGGGCCACGCGGAGAGGTGGGGGGGGGGGTTGTAGGAGTTGTGGTGGGAACTTGCACGAGGTGCTCCACTTTATTCCTCGCGCCAAGGCCCATGTCAACCATGCTGCAACGTGGCTCGGCGATTTTTATAAAAGAAGCATTATCTAATTGGTTACCATCCATGAGATTTTTGTTTTCTTTACGCTGCCTTTGTAAATTTATATGGACATGTAATGTGAATGTGAGCCAAATACATCTCTGCAAACGTTTATTGCCTGCCTTTTGTTTCCCTTAAGTGTCCAAAGGGTTCAATATTGCTCTGTTAAATGCACAAGAAGTGTGTATACACACACAAGATTCCCCTATATAGCTTTAACAGACTTTCGGGGCAAATTTTGTTAGTGAGCACCTATCAAGGCTGAGACGGCATACGAGGAGGTGAGTGGCCAACACCATGCCCAAGTTGCGATATTTAGATGCTGCAGCAGCTATTCAAATGAGGCTGAGTCGACCTAGGGGAGGCCCAAGACTGGTTCAGATAATTGTTACTGGTGTTGGCCATGAGCGCGCTAACCGCTACGCACGGACACAAACATATGTTGCCAATTTTAAAGTGTGTTGATTTTCACGCATTTACCTTTTACAGGTTGTAAATTACATCCGTTGGATTAGATTGTTATTACAGCGTGGATTTTATTTGTTTCCCTTTTATGGTGTACCTTTCAACACCACATTTAATTAACAATATTTGTTACAAATATATAACAGCTCCTTCTTCAAATCTATTATAATTGTAAATATGCGGTGTATAGTACAGGGTTCTTCAAAAAATGTTAACACTTCAGAGAATTTGTAACAATACCACAAGAAATGTTGCCTCTGGGCTCTGGAGACCACCTGGAGAAGATTCCAGGCACACGTTGACAACGATGGCGAACCAGTGGGAGACTCTTGAGTTTTTGAAGCTATTGACATTACATTTGTTATCATGTAACAGTGTATTATTCCTTGTTTTTTCCATTAAAAACGATAGTTCCATATGAGTGTTAAAAACATTTTTGAAGCACCCTGTATGTACGTTCATCATCTGTAGGTGACCTGGAACAATACGGCAATACATACTATCACGTGGCTTGGAAGGTAAAAGATCAATGTGCGGCCCAGCATTTAATTTCTCATTCCCACTGCTGCTGCAAGCTCTAGAGAGCCCCTCGACAGGGTATTTGGCCTCCTCTTCCCACACTGACCAGACGGCCTGCCGATCGACTCGCTGTGCTGTACCCCTTCGTACTGCTGGGGGATTTAATAAACTTGTAGCATAGTTTCAACTGCCGCGTCAGGAGGTTGAACCGGAGAACTCTGAATTGCAAGTCCAGTGCTCTCCACATTGTGTATGTATGTATGTTTAACTTCTTTCGCACTGTACGTAGTCAACCGGGCACAAAAAAACAGTTTATAAAAATTATTACCATTAAGGCAGCATGCCTACATTGCATGTATGATCAACATTCAGCGTGATCCGAAATTGACCATTCGCAACCTAAAACAAGAGCACAAACTTAGAGCCTGCACTCTCAGAACTAGGCCAAGTGAACCCCGGCACGCAATCCATAATGTCAGCAGATTGCTTCATTTCTCAAAGCGGGGTATATTTTATTTTATTATCATAAACTCATCAATCTTTTTTGTCCCCCACCCCGTGTGCAATAAGCACAATGGGTTCTCAAAGTGCGTGCGGGGCACTCTGCGCAAACAATAAAAGCGGAACAAAATGCACGCGTGCGCGTGGTGCAATACAAAGCGCAGAGAGCACTCGGTGCTCGAGCAAAGGGCTCAGAAATTAATGAAGCGCGCGGCTCTATTGCAGGCACCCGAGCTTGCCGAGGACCCGCCCGCGACGGCGAAGGCCGTGGCCCTGTCACACGGCGAGTGGGCCCCGTCGGCGCCGGTCAGCCGCAGCGGCTCCAACGCCTCGTCCCGCCGCTTCATCCCAGCGTTCCGCAAACGGGTACCTCTCCTCCCCCCCCATGCTCCTTTTCCACTGGCGCATCCAGAGCCGTGCCAAGCCAGGCCCTCGCGGGTCAGGAGGCGCAGGTTGAATAAAGTCGAGCCGCACCGCTGACGTCGCACGCGTTGTACGTACTTGTGCATGTTCAAACTTCTCTCGCAACCAAGCGTCCTCATCGGAAGTGCGGGGGAAGGACCACAAACTATGGGTCTCTGCGTGAGTCCTATATATGTACGGGGAACTTCTTTCACACCCGTACTTAGCCAACGGTGCTAATCGGAGCTGCGGGGGAACGGAGAACAAAGCAGTTCTTCATAAATGAGTTTTAAATCTAGACTATTTAAAAGGGGATAGTTCTAGTGGCCTCCTAATATCGAATGGAAGAACATTCCAGACGGCCGCAGAAGCGCATCTGAAAGTGCGCGATGCAGTGACCGTCTTTGTTCGATGGCGAGCCACAGGCCGCTGCCGTGAGGATGACCGGAAAGAGACGCACGTGGGTGATGCGGCGACGGACCATTCTCGCGGTGTTACTGACCGACGTCTGGCTCGCTGAGCGCGTCATTAGGCCCCGACCCTGGCCCTGCTTGGTCCCGTGGTAGATTCATAACGTCTGGCGAGGCCAGCGGGGGTCACCGTTTGGTTCCTGCTCAGCACGGAAGATAGCCAATGGAAGGCTATCTGTGCCGTGCAAACCCTGCACCACATCAGCTCGGAGGTGCCAGTGGGAAGAGGAGTTTAATAGCATCCATTTAGGGCTGGGCTGAGCCACGATGATATTTTCAAGGTCAGCTGGTCCTGGAGTTGGACCACGGCGCACATGGCCCAATTTAACTAATTTTCTGGCTGATTGGAGTTGAGCGTTTTATGTTGGGCTGAATTTGTGGTGGCCCAACTCCAGACATGGATGACCGTACACATTCCTGGTTGCCTAGTAGCCCAGTACAGCGCCGTGTTTCATTTCGTATTATATTAGAAAAAGCTTGCTCGCTGGATTCCTGTCTGGATGACGTCACTCACATCCCACAGCGTGGATCCGGTTTTGTGTTTCTTGTTGAGATCGTGCCTCTACTGGATATAACAGCACAGAGAAGGCAAGAGACATTTTGAGAAAGATGGGGTTATATATAAGGTGCACATTTTTTTCTAGCTGGCTGTGCGGGTTGCGAGTATATTAATAGCAAAAAACACATCTCTCCAGGAACTTCAGATCGAATTAAACTTCATTATGTTGCCTGGTCTTTAGCAACTGAACTGTAGAGCTGTAGGTACATTCGACAAGTTTAACATAATTTAATTTGTCCTTGTTGAGACATTGCAATTTAATGTGCAATCTGTGGGAGTCTATTTTTTTCCCATTTTAATGATATTCTAAATCTAGTCTGACTTCTATTTTCAGAAATGGTCTGCAGGGGGCGTTGCGTTAATGTAGATTGTAAACCCAGCTATTAACAAGCACGTACCCAAAATCACTGGGGTTTTTGTTTATTGTTGCAGAATTTTTTTCCATATTACAGTTTTTATGGTTGAGTTATTATTATGAAGAGTGACAAAATAATAACACGCCTCTGCTCTCTTTGCACGTGGTGTGTGTGTGCATTCGTGTGTATGTGTTTTGCTGCTCAAATGTTATGGCTTAATTACAGATGCTTTTTATAGGGCCCTGCTCGGGGAGAGGGGCTAATGAGCGTGTTTTTGTTTTGGCTCCTTGACTGTGTCAGCAAGAGAGCTCCCAGAGGGGAGGAGCTCCCTCCCATTCGGACCGAGTCTACAAGCTGGTCTTGGCTGGAGATGCCGCAGTTGGCAAGTCCAGCTTTCTGCTTCGCCTCTGCAGGAACGAATTTAGGAAGGACACGATCGCTACTCTTGGTCAGCCAAACACAATCATCGCACAGCCGAAATAAGAAAACACTCGTGCACACAGTATTTCACACACACAGGGGCTTCATTTAGCGCTGTCGTACGAAACACCGCTCGGCTCGCTTGTTGTTGGGGGTGATCATCGTAAGGCACTGCCACTAGAATGCAAGATACGCCCTCTAACAATAATTCTACATTGTTGCACTTAGTATTCCTGTAATCCTGTAAACACGTTAATAAATAATGAGAACAATCTCGGGCGAGGTGAGATGCGGCCTGCCATAATAATTCCCAGAACAGCATTCTCAACTCTTCCGACTCAACTGAAACATTGTGTATATATATAGGGCTTGATTTAAGCTGGAGCTGTCTGGGGCTAAGCTCCAGAAATATATTGCTGCTTCCTCCCCCTCTCCCACCCACTGTATGGAGGGGGTAGGGTGGCAGTGTCCCAGAAAATATTCCATGACAAATGAAGCCCTCTATTGCATGTATATATATCAAAGGGTGTGACAGTTGGTGTTTGTGCCCTAGGCAACGTTATCATGGACACCGCGCCGTGTTTTGCATGAGCAAAAACACATGCTGCAGGTTTGTGTCTTGCAGGTTATAGGCCTTCGTGTCATCCGTGTCTGCTGCCTTTGTGCTTGCAGAATTACGCTCCCTGCCACCGTTTGCATTGTGCCACTGGAGCCGGCCTCCCGGGCAAGATAAATAATCACTGTAGATCAGCCCCTTTTTAGCTTTATCTAAAACAAGGCAGCCAGCCAACTAGGCCTCCCTCCAAGCCTCGCGTGTAGTGGCGCGGACCGCAACGCTGCCAATGTTCTCTGAAAGTGAGCAAAGTTGGCACGGCGGTGGCAATTCTCTAGAAATTCACTTAAATGAGGCGAACACATGGGGGCTTATGTAACCTTACAAGTGTGCTCCATCTTCAGACCGTCATTCAAATAACAACGCCATTCCGCAATACCAAGGACACGTTTCTCCAAAAACGCATCCCTTTCCGTGACACGTGGCGACTTGTAGTTGGTGATATTTTGAAGGAAATGTGCTGTTTTAAAAATAGCGTTATGACCCTTTTCATTATTTTTTTGTACTGTAGTAAATATTTATCCATAAGCAGCAGCTTTTCAATGTTTACTCATCATAATGTATTTGCACACTCATATTTTATGGAGGTAGGGGGGGCAGTGGTGGGGGGGGGGGGGGTAAATGGTCTTGCGGACACGATAATATTTAGCCGACTTTTTGACGTGAAGGGGAAATGTGTGGGCTGTGGGCTGTGAATTAAAAATGGTCCTCACATCCGCATCATCACTCACCTTTGTGTTCGAAAAACAATTGTAGGCAATGAGGTGTGAATGGTGTTAGAACAATATTCTCGTGTTTATGCTTGTTTCTGATGCCATTAACCCTTTGGCCTGCTCGTGGATTGTGTGGATATAATGTTTGGAGAAAAAAAAAACCTCATTTTTATTCAAAAATCGTTCGTATGAAAACATCACATGTGCAGTAATTGTATATTACTTTCCATTGTCAATACGTTGCTTGGTGAAGGACTCCTATCTTTCTGTCAGATGGGTCATTTGGCCATACCTCACTAGATTGGTCAGTGGGGATTCATAGTTGGCAGGATGCCAGGAACCATTCAGATATCACTCGCTCCTGCTTTTAGCTACTGTCAGGAATCAAGCACGGGTTCCCAGCTTGATAGCGATCTTCTTCTTATTTCCTATTGGGAGCGTTGTGCAGAGATTAAGCAACTGATTTTTGGAACCGCGACAAATGTTACAGCATCAATGTCTGGGTTCTGTAGCCATCCAGTTGCACTGCTTGTGAGTTGATGCATTGCTTTGGTTGCCCACCCTTCAATGGACTTCATGGGCAAGCAGCAGGTGGCTACATCATCCACAGTCACAGGTGGAACGATCCTTCCACTATCTCCCCCCCACTCGCCCCCGTGTTGGCCACACGGTGTCATCGGGCGATAATTCACCGACAGTGCAATAATGCGTTGTAAATGCTGTGTTTCAGGAGTGGACTTTCAAATGAAGACGCTGATTGTAGACGGAGAGCACATGGCCCTTCAGCTCTGGGACACAGCTGGGCAAGAGAGGTGAGCCCAGTTCTACATGCATTGATTACAGCCGCTTAGCCGATGTTTATTCAATGTTGACAAAATGTCATTCCGTGACATTACCCAATGCAGAATCTGTTGTTTGAACGTTGGAGCATTGCTAATACGCATTGACGTGCTGTGTTTAGAGAATGAATGCATTTCACATCTGACTGTGACTGAATTAGAATGCATTTATACCGCTTTAATGCATTTAAGATCATTGCATTTATTTTTGTCCCCAGGTTTCGGAGCATTGCTAAGTCGTACTTCAGGAGAGCAGATGGTGTGTTGCTCCTCTATGATGTGACCTGTGAAAAGACCTTTCTAAACGTGAGGGACTGGATTGACATCATTGAGGTACAGTGTTGTCATTAGAGGGTTAATATTGGGGTTATGAAGCATCTGGTATGGTGTTGGCACTGCTATCACATTTAAGCCATCTGTCCCAGTGTGCATGTGTAGGCTTAATGCCCGTGGAAATTAGAGGTCCCTCCACAAGCCGTGGAATGAGCCTCATGCGCCCGGCATACCTTCATCTTTACATAACGTCTCCCGAATATAAAGGTGACTCTGTTGTTCATTCGCTGTATTTGGTTTCGGCTGAAAATGCTAACCGCGGGTCCCCCCCCCCCCCCTCCCACGTAATCCTTTCCGCAGGACTCCGCACCAAAATCGATTCCTGTGATGCTGGTTGGAAACAAGAGTGACATGAGGAACATGTCACCTGGAGACGATCAGAAATACGTGTCCCACACGTTCGGAGAGAAGCTCGCGATGGTATTCAACAAATGTCGGGGGGCACGCATCAAACTCGCAAACGTGGTCAACGTGAAACTTGTAACAATTGTTGGACGCTAAATAAGAATAAGTGACGATACAATCGGCTTGTATCTATCATGCATTCTGCTCTGTTTCCCTGTGTTTTTATATATATGTGGAACGGCTTTGATGCTCATCTTGAGAGAGAGGGACTAAGCCTTTGGCAGCAGAGGGGTGGGGGGGGGTCCGCCTATTCCAAGGCTCCCCGACACTACAAACCGTGGCTTTATCCGTAATCTCGCGTGTGTTGGTGCACGAGTGGAAAACAGACAGACGACCGCTAACCTGTTCACGCTTTTTTACTTTTTCAGAATTACAATGCCCTGTTTTGTGAGACGAGTGCCAAGGATGGCTCCAACGTGGTGGAGACGGTGCTACACCTGGCCCGGTATGTCCCGCGCACCTTTGCAGTGCCACGATGCACGCTTGCGACCGTGTCAACAAGTCCATGTAGAGGCCCCTTTGTCAATCCACTGCTGGATGAGAACTTCCTCCACACCACGCTGGACCGTGCGGAATAGTTCGCCGCGCTTCATCACGCTGTCTCGGTACAGGTTTGGTAGATGCCTGGAGTAAAGGTATATAAGTGTGGGAGCATAGAAGTGCAGTACAGCGATGTATTTTTCTGCACTCGGCTTCCCACCATGAAGCTCCACAGCTTATAACGCCTGCTACGCACAACAGTCGACCCGTGCAAGCAAAAACCCGCTGAGCGTCTGAGATCTGTTGAGATCGGTGATGTTCTGTGTGGCTTGGTCGAAGGCAGGTCACTAGCGAAGACTCCAATCCGCTAGCGTTGCGGTGTGCAATGTGGCGAGCGAACACAGTCCTCCTTAAGAGCTCAGTGCTTGCATTCAATGAAGTTGCAATTGCTGTAAAAGAAGCCAACTTTCATATTTTAAGAGAAACCTCTGCCAGGTACATTCACAGAATGTCTTACATTTGTTCATGTTTTTCATGAGCGTATGTAATACCTCTGGGAAGTTTTATATACTGCACTGCACAGTACTCACGATGACCAAATCACCCAGAATACACCTGATCTCATCAGATCTCTGAAGCTAAGCAGGGATGAGGCTGGATAGTGGTTGGATTGGAGACTTCCATGCATAACAAGGGTTGTAGGCTGCGGGGATATGCGCTGAAGTGGGCAGCAAAGAGTGGTGCATAAAAATCCGGTGTTGTACCGTATTTCTATGTGCCCATATCTATGCCCCCCGGCCTTGATCAACTCACTCTGAAAAGCATGGCGAAGTATGATCAACCCACACAGCGTGGGTAGGGCCACGTATAGCAGTGGATTACCTTGTACACGGGTACATGCACAGGTTTCAGACACGTGTTATTCGTTATTTACAAGTGTTTTTTTCCCCCGTACACATGAAGCTGAAATGATTTGATTTGTTGCAAGTGATTGCTCGGGTTGCAATTCAGTTTACGACACGAATTAAAACAACAGTAAAAATGAGAAACGCGTCGCCGTGCTCCACAGAAAACGTGATGCAGTTGATTCCTTTAATGGGTGCCACTGTACACGTCCCTTAATTGTGTTTTCAAGTCAATAAAAAACGCAAACGCGCACAAACGTGATTGCGTTTTTAATGCGAAATTAGGCTCTTCCAAGTTGCGACCAAAGATTTAGCATGGCACCATATGGCGCCATTCTGCAAAATAAATAAAACCCAAGTTGCACCGTGACGCCATAAACACTCCCAGTCCTGGATGCCCCTGCGAGATTCCTGGATTTCTCTTTCAAGAGGCATCCACAAGGTTTGCCACCTCCGGAGGTATAAAACAAAAAACCAGGACATGCAATCGACAAAAAACTGAGATGAGTTTTTTTTTTGTCCCAGGAAGACTCGCAAATATTTCAGGGCATTTATCTAAAAAAGGGAACCATATAAACATCAGGCGGTTTCAACTGCTTTGCTTCAAGCAAGCTCGTCTCTGCTGTAGAATCGCTGCATGTTGAAAACTGGCCCCGAGTTTGCTTGTGTGTTGGACCAATGCCGCTCCGAGGATGCACTCCAAGAAGGCTGTGTTGGCCAGTGTGTTGCTTGCAACGAAAACAAAACATTTAACCTCTATGTGGAGAGACAAGATGTGGGAGGGAGGAATGATTTTGTTACCTCCCAAAGACAACACGATCCTGGGAAAACCAGGACTGGTGGTAACCCTGGGCATCAATCATTGCTTTGGAAGCTCTGTTTTGAACCAGAGTGACACTCTCGTAACCGCATTGTTTTCGCAATCCCTCTGGGTATCGCCGAGTACTGTGTGGCCTTGTATCATCGGCTTTATCCCGATGATACCGTGAGGTGTTTTGTCAAATTAGTTTGACCTGCCCCCTAAGTGGTGTTGTGTGACAGTGTTTTATGTTACCGCGCATTGATGCTAAGTGAGAAAATCGTCAGGAGAGACAGCTTGCTGCGAGCAGTCAATGACGAATAAATTCTCACGGGCTCCGGAGCAAGGAAAACCCGTTACTGTGAACAAGGGCAGTGCGATATGCGAGCACTTTAGATTGGACTCGCTTGCCCACGTGACAATTAGCGGCTGTGTAATTTCATTGGCTGATCACGGCAACGCTTCCTTTGCCCTTTGGACGGCAGCGATTTTTCAAAATCAACGTGTTTACTTTGCTGGGATGCAGTTGTGTTAAAACATCCTGTCAAAGTAATAATGCATTGACCTGACGGTCATTCGCAGATTAATGTCACACTGGAAAATGCATCCATTTTGTTGCACAACAAAAAGCTGGTTACCATTATCAATAAATTGAAGGCTTATAGAGGCTTCCCTTGGTGATTGTTAGTTGTGGAGGATGAAATTATTTACTCCCAGGCTCCCATTCTTCTCCGCAAGATTACGCAAAGCAATTGTCAGAAAGGGGCATTTGCTCTGAATGCTTCCATCAGCATTGGGAGGACGTTTAAAGAATAACCTCAACTCTTCCGTCACATTTTTATCATGCAGTCTGACGGGTGGATTTTGGCATCCACGTACATTTCCATTGGTAATTTATTGTAGTATTTTATTACTTTTTTTTCATTCCACCCTGCTCTAACTCCTGTCTTGAGCGAGGAAATGTTGGCAATTGCAAAGCAAAGCATTGAGTACAATGGTCGAGTTTAATAACGTACATGACTTGCAAAAGCAATGTTATGCATCATTGCATTTTTAGATAGATGCAATAACCGAAAAAACACGGCAAGACAAAGCACTCGTCAAATATATACCATATTTCAGAGCCAATTTTATTGTCATGATTATACTTGTTTACCCAGCAATACCTCGATGAGTCTCAAGACTCTTTTTCAGGAGGGTCCTGCCAAGCTTTCACAGTCGGGAGCTGTGTTGCTGTTTGTAATCCAAATTGAGTAATTTGCAGGTCTTTTTTTTTCTCAAGCATTCGGCATGTTTTGCCAATACCAGTTACACTGTGTGTTTCATTTAGCTATGGGAGGCAACTGGAGAGCACCCCATGCAGAACAGGGGGAGAATATACAAAACGCCACACCGAAAGGCACCCAACCCGGGAACCAAACCCAGGCCCTCGTTGCTGTGAGGCACGAGTGTTGCCACTGCGCCACTCCGCCACCCTGTTCGATACCCACGATGGACATGGCCCTCTCTGCTTTACACGGCGACTTGAGATCCGGTAGCGTTTCCATCAGTGGTCCTTAACCTGGGGTGCATCACGCACCCCCTGGGGATGCGGGATGCCGTTTCTGGGGGTGCTAGACATGGCCAGATTGTTTTAGAAGGTAAATCTTCGACACAAATTAAGCACGGGCACGTAAGTACAACTACTTTGTTTCATCAAACCCTCTGTGTTTATTAACACTGTAACATGTTTTAACGATTAAGAACCAAAGGGATGCAATGCTGCAGTAAAGGTTAAGAACCACTGGTTTAGATGCTGTGAAAACACAAACCGTGTTGCAAATCGTATTTAAAATACTCCTATGGTTGTATTTGGCGATGCTGCTGCATTGGCAGTGGTGCACAAGCATCATTTGGAGAAGAAGAAAAAAACTCAACACAATCATCAATAACACTTTGGCCTTAAAAGGTAAAATATAATATTGTGGCCTTAAAAGGTAAAATATAATACTGTATGTAATAATACGTAATAGCCCAAAGATATTAAATATTGTTTCATCTTAAGGTAGTGTTATTGGCATGTTTGTTGGGTTATTTTTGTAAATTGTATTCTTCTGATGGTGTTTTTAGGCTTCATAATCTAAAGGTTGAAGCAATTCTAAGACTGTTTATTAGAGAATGTTACAATTGGCAAGAGCATCTCTTTCCTAAAAAAACACTGTTGCATCGGTCTGCTATGTATATGAACAAACTGAAAAACGTATAACGTTTGAGAAAGAAATCTCAACCTTTCATTCTGAAGCCTGCCGCATGTCCACGTTTTTGCCTATATTGAGGCTCATCAGTGCGCCATGTCTAAGTTACAGAATTAATTATAAATCCTAAACAGGTCTGAGGAGACGCATCTCTGAATCTGTCCAATGATTTGTTGATCTAGCTTGCATCAGTCTGCTCCGTTTTTGAGTAGTCAGCACACTCCTTAATATTTATGGCAGATTCATGATGCTAATTTCGGTAACGATGCATCAATAACACTAATGGAAGCTGTGTGAAATGTGTGTACTGCTGCCACATGCCTTTCTGGGAGTGTACGCACTGCATTGTTGAGTGGGGGGGGGGGGGCCTGGGGGAGGGTTGAGAGGTTTTTGAAATGTGTTTGCATATTTATCGGGATTGTCAAATTATAATCGTGGCTAAAAGCGTGTTGTCTCCTCTCCGCAATTAACAGGGAGGTCAAAAAAAGGGCCAATTCTTCGGAAAGCGAACCGCCTGCCAAAGGAGTCGAAGTTGACGATGAAAATAAAAAAAACAAGTGTTGCAAATTATAAGGTTTACATGGAACTCGATCAGAGCTGCGCTCAACTTGACCTCTGGGCTTCTCGGCTGGTTCACACATGGATGTAGATATCTGACCTTGAGTCTGATGACATTCATTTCGAAACTGGAAGAAAAACTTCTATATATGTTTTCACTGCTGCAAATAACTTATTCCAACCTGCTATTGTGCTGTATATAAATAAAAGTTTATGATCAAAGTGCAATCTAAATGTAATATATATATAGCAGATAGATTTAGAACATTTTTAAAGTTGCATATTTTAGGAGAGAAAAAAATATATAAGGAATGTAACTTGTTTAATAAAGTGATTTTTTTAACATGCACCTTAAAGGTTAAGTCATTAATATGTAAATAGTTTATTGATTATGAAATATTTTGTAATGATAAACTTTGGCCTTTTTAATTAACAAGATGTCTGGCCAGCGTGGAAGAGTAGACCAAAGTAGTACCCTCTAAGAGGGGATCTCTCGTGCTTCTCCTAGCGGAGGCCCTTCTGCTAGCAGTGGTGTGAGCAGGAAATTACAGCGCTGCACCTTTACCATTGTTAAAGCGTCGTGATGAACTGTGACATTTAAGCAAAGCAGCCTGAGCAGGTACAACACACTCAATAGCGATATGATTTCATGCTCGGCTAAAGGGCTTGCACGTTAAAAACACATTTCGATATTTATAGCAACCCAGAATGGTTGAGAAGGTACCAGTGCGTTGGTTCAGAAGAAATGCATAGTGTTTCAGTTACACAAATGGAAAGAGGCGAAACGTTTTCTAAGCCATACACAAGTTTCCCTTTTGATTCGTGCGAGGAATGAGGTTTTTGTGGCAATCTCGTCGCATCGCAACTGTTTTTTTTAAGGATTGTGTTAAAATCGAACAAAAGACAATTGACGGCGTTGCTCTATTATACGGCCAAATGTCCCCGAGGCGCGCTGCGGTGCAGAAGTTGTGACACGCTGGCAGGAGCAGACACATACGGCCCTCGTATGTCACCAGAGCCGAGTGGGCCACAGTAATGCATGCTCGTGGTGGCCGACACAAGAGTGATGATAATGAGGATGCCAATAATTTACAGGCCAGCATTTCTTCACTGGTTGTACCCCGCAATTTCCTTTAATTGCGTGGCTGTTTATGAGCCTAAGATGTCCGTAAAATACTCCGTGCTGGCATATTGCCTATAGAGATTTACAAACTGTATCAGTAAATCATACAACAAGGCTTGATTATTATTCCTCTTGTTACTTGCCCTGAAATATTCCCACACCGTTGGAATTTTAACATGAATTATGCAAAAAAAAACCCTCCTGAATTGATGTGTCGGTACAAATAGTACATTTCAGTCGTTATGGATGTTTTATAATATTAACAGAAACGTGTGCTGGTTCAATTAAAATATTTTTTTTATTGCGAATGCTTTCAAGCATACAGGTAAACAGTTGTTTAAGTTGAAAAAAATAAAACTGCATTGCTTATTTGTTTTTAACTGTGCATTTTGTCTGCAAAGTAACGTAAATGTTATTTATTTATTTACGATGTGTTCTATTCGGTGAAGTGACACTTTTATGACAATATTCCCTCCATTATGGCGGTTATGTTATTATGAACTGCCAAAATATTTTGTTGTTTCAACAAAATATAAACTTCTTACATGTCTGTTGTATAATCGGGAGCAATTAACAACGCACGTGAACTTGCATCATCACAAAAGCACATTGAACGGATGGTTACTTTGTGGGTAATGCCCATATCCAAGCACGGAGCGGGCACAGCTGAGGCATCCGGTTCGAATGTGGGCAGCCACCAGATATGATGTTGATGGATCGATCTTTCGATTGAATATCAAAATTGGTCCAGAGTTTGCTTGTAGAAAAGCAATGCTGCTGAAATTATACACTCCCAGGATGCTTTGCGCCCGATGGGATGTCTAAAAAAAAAGATAGGTGAAGGAGTCGAATTGTCTGCTTATTTGTCATCTATTAAAACAATTATGCCCACGATACACGCATACAACTGTGCATTTACACATCGATTATGGTTTACGCAAGTAATATGCTAATGTTACCAGATGGTGGGATGATACTGTTTGGGCATATCTCGGAGGTCACGTGTCTCCAGTGCGGCAGCAGCAGCAGCTGCGGGATCTGGCAGAGAGAGAGGACAGCTTTGGCAGCGATATGCTGGTGGTGACAACCACAGCGTTGGCCACGATGACGTCTTCATGTTGAACGTTGCGTTTAGGTTAATGGAGCAAATCGGACTACAAATGTGACGTAAAAAGCGAGAGATAATATAGTATTTAAAAATGTGTGTGTCGGTACTACACATTTTGAGAATAAAAAAGCTGGGGGCGGGGGGGGGTGAGTTACGTTTTTGGAGTAAAGCAAATTGATGGTCTCGGTCTGATGAGCAGCAGTTTTACTAAATATGTGAAATTTAGTTTACCACTCACTTCACGTACTTCAGCATATCCTCCTAGCTTTTGAGAATGTTTTAAAATAACAAAAAAATAGAGCCTATTACTGTCATACAATAAACATGCTTTACACAACTTGAAGGCTTGACGGCATGTCATCTGGTACTGCGTTCTGTGAGATAGGCCCAGAGAATTGTAGTTATTTCCAAGTCTTACTTTGGTGTCATATTCGACAGTGATGTGCTGCTAGCTGTGAGAAATGTTAAAAGGCCATTTTGTGTTACGATACAGATCTAGAAGTACTAAAGAGAATATTGAATGTGCATCTGTCAATATTCGTTAAACGAAAATTAATATTGCATGAGCTGATGTGTAATTCTCAGATACATTTGTTTTTAAAAATTGCATTGCTATTCATTTAAATGTCATAATTGGACCTGTATTCCCCAGATAATTTAGGAATCCGTTACATACATCCATGTGTTTTCATTGGCATCCATAATTTTGTGATATTTTTATTTCAATGTAGATTATTGATATTGAAAATTCTACATTGATACGAACTCGGATTACTTCAGTAGAACATCCTGCTCGGAAATCCGACGTAGACGTATTATCGTGGGTGTGTAACACAATAATAAATTCGAATAACAGGCCGTTCGTTAATCATGCTTCATGAAGAAGCGCGTACAAATTTTGTGATCCTCTTCTGGTCTCCAAATAGCCATCTGGCCTGCACGAATGTAAAAGTGGCTTACCAGGGGTTTTTCCCGCGATAAGAATGGGGGATTGGAATGGCGTTGACCGTGAGTGCTCCACTTCAGGCAAACCATTCTCTAATAACCTTTCGCATTTGCAGGGACTGCCCGAGTGTGCGCGCGCGTGCCTCAGCGTGGTGCCATTATGCAGTCACCGTGTGCATTGTCGTTGGATGATGTACAGTGGTAGCTTTGACCTTCAGTGACCCAAAACAAATGCATTTAGAACCGACGAATTATGTTTAAAAAAAATGTATACAACACAAAGAAGACGATGTATACGGCGTTTGTAAATTCCATACAGTAATAAACAAAAACGCTCTGGAAAGTAAGAAGCGTCCTGAACCTGTCCGGTGTGAAATAAGATATACAAATCATACACACACCTGTCAGATCATAAGACGCACCCGAAATGTTTGCGTTAAAATGCAAGAGTGAGCAGTGCATCTTATACGGAGAATGCAGGATTTATAATTGAAAGGCCATGTGTGCTGCGTATTTCCAAAATGTACAACGTCGGCACGAGTTGGTTTGTGATCATCGTGGTATTTAAACCAGGCAGCATTTCGAATTCTCATGGCATGTGGAGAACGATTATACACTTGACATTAAAATGGACACAATTTACTTTTTCTGTTTTTGACGGGTATTCATCTGACATCGCGATACCAAAATAAGTAATTGAGGAATATGTTTTAAGTATTTCAACCATGTAATTAAAAACTTCAAACTGCTATCTTCTTCATTATGAGACCTCCTTTGCCAGTACCAAAATATAAGAATAGGTTTTTCCCCTTTTTTCTGGCAACAAAACTGAGACCTTTTTACGTGGAATCATGTCTCCATTAACCACAATAGTTGTGGCAAAATGCAAACGAAAAACATACTCTGATAATATATACATTGTCCTTGAAACTGATTGGTCCACACCAGAGACAACTTTCTCTTGAGCCTCGTCTCAAACGGTGCTAGACCAGAGGACGCCAAAAGGCTTTCAAAAGAAAGCCGTCTCTGGTGTGGACCAATCAGTTTCAAGGACAATGCATATATTATCAGAGTATGTTTTTTGTTTGCATTCTGACCACAAGTATTGTGGTTAATGCAGTCATGATTCCTCGTAAACGAGGTTTCAGTTTTGTTGCCAGAAAAAAGGGGAAAACCCTATTCTGCTATCTTCTTATAATTCTTTCGTAGTTAATAACACCTTTATGGATACCGTGTATAATTCCGCCATGATCCCGTTAACATTTGGTTGTTAAAATATACTGTTAGTTTAATTTCATCTTTAAATGTTTAAAAATGCGGATTTGACCTTTCCTCTCATTTCCTCTGGTAGCCAATACAATTTTGTTAACTTTATTTCTGTCAAATCTTAACTGCATGAGAACTGGAAGCACTACCATTGGATTTTTCATGCCAAATTCTATAATGCTGTCCTATACCAGGTTGTCTTGTCAAAATGTTGATTAGAGGATCATATATGTTGGCAATAAAATACGACATGAATGTGGATGACTGGTACCTCAAATATCACTCCATTGTGAACAAACTCTCTATCCCCTGGAGCTAATAATCGTGGTGGTGTTGGTCCATCGCCCAAAGTGGATTTTATTGTGGGGGTTCCCCACCCCCCTTTCAATTTACAAACTACTAATGAGAAAAGAGAAGAGATAGACAAGCGATAGAGATGTAGTGAGATGTGAGAAATTCAGACAAAACTTAGAGATGGTAGTCAGATTCGTTCGTTTCTCGATCCGCTCGTCCTGGTGAGGGTCACTGCGGCTGCGTGTTGAGTAGGCTGGTTCAGACCTCCCTTTGCCTGGCGACGGATACCAGCTCTTCCTGTGGAATTCCCAGGCGTTGTTCCCAGGCCAGCCGAGGGACATCGTCTTGCCAGCGTGTCCTGGGCCGGGCCCCCGGGGTCTTCGCCCAGTGGGACGTGCTGCCCGGTAGAGTTCCAGGGGGAGCCTACCGGGGGGGCATCCTTACCAGGTGCCCAAACCACCTCATCAGTCAGCTGAAAAAGATCAATTGGCAGTATTTATTAACATTTGAATTGAAACTGATATATTATGCAACCCTAGATTGCTTTCATTCATCCAGGTCCTTTTCACATGCTTGGGGATGAAATATTTTTCTGGGTTTTTGTTGTGCCAAACACCACCACGAAACCAGATGTTATAATGAGTTCGTGGATAAAATACACGAAGACCTGCACCTCAAATCAGTCAAAAGATAGCTTTCGTCTACGTCTGTGATCACTGAATAACTCCATATTACCATAACTAAACAGCCATACCCCCATCACGGTCTTCACGAGCCAGTACAACATATCTGCAATTATATTTTGGGAGAGAAAAAAAACCTGTCGCAAATATAAAACAACAACATGTTTTAACGTCGCATGAAGTAATGTATTTGTACAAGTGATGTATACAGTCAAACGTGATCAATGGCACATGGACGTATGTCACACGGAAGTTATGGCTGTAGAAAAACATTGACATTGAGATATGTATGGTTTTTTCCCCCCACCCTGAACTCGAGGAGAGACGGGTTTCATAGCAAATTGCACGTGCATGAAAGTAAGCATCCTTATTTACACATTATGCACTTTTATAATTGTCGCTTAATTCATCTGTCATCATCGTCCATGTTTCTAGATTTGAAGCTTTCGTGACTGCAACGATTCATATTCTTGGGTTTTTTCGGTAAAGTCACGTAGGTAAAAAAATTAAAATTACAATTAATAAAAGTAAAATAAAATAAAAAAAATCACGACGTTTCGGAGGCAACACAAGCTTCCGTCTTCAGGTGGAACCGTCACAGCACGCTCGCTGTATCAAGTAAATAATTTTATTTTAAGTAAATTAGTTTATTTTTATTTTATTTTACTTTTATTAATTTAAATTTTTACCTACGTGACTTTACCGAAAAAAACCCAAGAATATCATCCATGTTCTATCCACTGCCGGATGAATTCCTCCCCACATAGTCGCCATTCCTCAAGGTCCTGCTCACGGCCGTGTCGTCTCCTTTGGCAGCGATTCTGTGCGTCCCATAGAGTGGCGTGTCCCGTCGAGGCACGCTTCTTAATGGTGAATATGAGGTTTCTAATTTGCACGTGTTCTTCAACTCATACGTTGCTCTTAGCGTGTCTCAGCATAATACCAGGGCATGCATCTCTCCGTGCAGCTTTGCACACTTTCCAGTCGTTCCATCATCTTTGTAATTGTCCATATTTATGAACCACGTGTCAAGGCCGGTAATATGCATTCATTGAAAACGTTCTTATTAAGTC